GTCTCTATATGTGACAACCGTTTCCACATAAAACCCTTTCGGGGGTTCAGACAGTTCATTTGTTGAGACATCCTTTTGTTCTACTTCACCACCTTAAAAAAAAAAAAAAGTAACAGCTGCATCACTAACTTTCATTTTATCTTACTTTATTTTTTAATTGAAGTATAGTTGATCACTAACTTTTAACTTAGGCAGCAGTCATTAGAATTATTAGTAAAGTCTTTGAAATAAAATAAACTAAGGTAAGAATTACCCCCACCCCCATCAGGTTCCTGACACTGTTTTCTTTCTGTAAAAAAGAAAATTTAAATAAGTTTTTTTAAATGACCACTACAGAGATAAATGTTTTTAAATGCTTAATACTGACATGTGCACTTTCAGGCCATTGGTGATCATCACCAAATGTAATCTTCAGCACAGTTTTTACATAAAAAGCTTTACTGAGATAATACTTATTATACAATTAACTCATTTAAAATGTAAATTCAGTTTTTAGTATCTTCAGATCTGTGCAACCAGCACCAAAATAAAGTGTAGAATATTTTCATCCACAAAAGGAAACCCCTTATTTTGTAGCAGTCGCTCCCCCACCAGCTCCTCCCCTTCAGCCCCAGGCAGTCCCTACTCTAGACGAAGCCACAGATTTCCAGAACATTTTTGAAAGCTGCGGGATTTCCTTTTCCTCCCAGCAACTGGGAAGATTTCAGTACTCCTTCGCTGGTGTAAGTCAGCGAAATCGGTTTGGTCGCCAAAGGCGACCATGCGACCAAAGCAGGGCTGAAGTTACAGAAGCATCGCCTCTTAAACCACCATCCAGGGTCTTTGAAATTCCACCTGGAATCTCACGGATTCTTCAAATTCTGAGGATAGGGGCGGCCTCGCTCAATAAGCCAGCATGGTTCGGGGAAGAGGCTCTAAAAGGTCGTTGCTGGCAGATTCCACGATAACGCACGGCTCTAAGCACCGCTCCCGGTCTCTTCGCGCGGCACAGCGAAGCCACTTCTGCGCCCCCCCCGGACACGCCCCACGCAAGGCCGCGCGTCCCCCGGAGGTCCCGCCCGAGAGCCGTACCTGGAGGCTTGTTCTTTCTCTGATTATACAAAAACAAGGAGCCCAGCAGGGTCCAGGCGCCCAGTCCGTACAGCATAGACATGCGCCGGTACCAAGACAGGGCCTTTTCCGGACGCATGACGCCGCCGGGAATACCTCACTCCTCGGAGTCTCAGGGCGGAGGCGGGCCTTCCGGTGGGCGCGTCACCGCCGCCGCCGCCTCCAATGGGGAGCCGCCGGGTTGGCCGCTTTCTGCGCCGGCCCCGATGCATCCTGGAGCGTGTAGTCCGGACGTCGCGCTGGGCAACGCACTCGGGTCAGGCGCGTGGGATCCGGAGACGATCTTGCCTCCCACGTGACGGGCCCCAATGACACTTTCTCTCAGGCAAACCTCCCACTTGCAAAGTCCTGCCTTACATAGGCTTTAGGTGGCCCTTGTAAAACTTAATTCCTTCCCTCCTCCAGCTCTCAGGTTTGCGAGGATACTCCGTCTACGACCCGCAACTCATCTTCCCCATCTTCCTGCCTGGAGCCCCGTCTGGTGCGCGTGGGTCCCTCCACGTCTGAATTAGCCCCTCCACTGGGCTGTGGGTCCCATTCTTCTCTGCCTTTCAGGGCCCTGGCCCAGCAACTACACTCTGTCCACCTCCATCTCACGCCCTTTTCATTCTGTTGTTCTTTACTCCATCATACAAACGGGTCCGCGCCTCAAAAAGTCTCCACTCGATCCACCATCAGCTTTTCTCTTATCCGTACATTTCCTCGAAGCATAATCTACCCCCACTCCAAGAAACCAAACAACTTGAGAGCAAAAGGGATGTGTTGGGCACAGAGTGGATACTCAGTAAACTTCCATAGCCAGTAACTACTTTGCAGCCATAATCAGACGATTTCCAGCGCATACGACTCCACCTGCTCCTTTCATAGCTTCGAAAACATAATTTTCTTCAGAATCTATTTATCCTTCAGGGCTCTTCCCATTTCTCCCACCCTCTAAAAATTGGTGTTTTGCCACACACAAAAATTAACGCTAAATGGATCATAGGCTTAAATATAAAAGCTAAAACTACAAACCGAGAAGAAAAGATCTAACACAACGATTGGAAATCAACTACATCCAATATAAAATAAAAATTTTTTAAAAAGGCGATCTTTGCCATCTTGGGATAGGCAAAGATTTCTTAGAATACAAAAAGCATAAACCACAAAACAAATATTGGTAAATTGGACTTTTTCAAAATTAAATCTTTTGCTCTTCGAAAGGCAGTTAAGAAAATGAAACAAGCCACAAGATAAAATATTCAAAGTAGGTAGATCTGACAAAGGAATTGTATCAGAATTTATAAGGATATCTTACAATTCAATTATAAAAAGACAGCCGAACTGAAAAACAGGCAACAATCACTTAACTAAAGAAGATATACAAATGGCCAATAAGTACAGGGGCATTGTTAGTCATCACAGCAATGCAAATTAAAACCACGAGACACCCTTATACACCTATTAGAATGACTAAAAATTATGTTGAGAATACTAAGGGTTGTACGGACTTGGAGCAATCAGACCTCTTACTGGTGGGAACATAAAATATCACAACCTTTTTGCGATACTGGCAGTTTCTTAAAAATTGAAGTACCCCTACTGTATGAATCAGACGTTCGGTTCCTATTCACCCAAAGGAAATGAAAACATTATGTCCACACAAACGTATGTATGTGGGTGTTCACAGAGCTTTATTCGTAAGAGCCCCCAAATGGAAACAACCCAAATGTCTACCAACTAGTGGATGAATAAAGGAAATGTGAGTCTATCACTCCATAATAAAAGGAACTACTCTACTGATCCATGCAATTGCATGGATAAATCTCAGATGGGTAATGCTAAGTGAAAGAAACCAGGCACAAAAGAAACCAGACATAAAATTCTGGAAGCAAATTCATCTATAGTGGGAGAAAGCCGACAAGTAGTTGCCTCCGACCAGGGTGTGCAGAAACGGAAGGACTAAAAGGGGCCTGAAGAAACTTTGGGGGCAGTGGAAATGTTGTGTCTTGATGGTGATGTGATGGTGGTGCTTTCATGGGTGTGCACATCTATTGAAACTCATTGAACTGTACACTTTAAATGGGTGCAGTTTATCGTATATAAATTATACCCCAATAAGGTCGTTAAAAACAAAATAGGAAAATCAGTATTCTGTTCCAAGCTTGCTTCTCTTCTCATACTGAGCAACTTTACTCATGTTATTTACTTTATACGTTTATGACTCTCAAATATATGCCACATTCTCCTGAAAGATAAATGCATACTAATTACTGCCAACCTACAGGGCATTTTCAGTTCTACCCCACAAGCTCCTGAAACTCAAAGAGTGGCCAGGATTGAATTTATCCCTACCCCTACTGCTCCCCAGCCCCCAAAAGAAAAGAAACCTTTCCTGACTCACCCTCTCACCTAACACCTCATCTGTCACCTGTGTCTAAAAGCTGCCTCTATTGAGGCCTCGGCTGGATTCCAGCCTCCTTCCATCTGGGCTGCCACTCTCCTAATTGATCATTTCAGGAGTTTCCTTGCTTTCAAGATGGAGTTTATAGTTACTAGGCACACTGGCTCAGTGTCTCCCTCTCGAGATGGCTGCTCTCCAAAGAACACTAACACCCACCTCCACGTTCTTTGGAAACAGCCACCAGCACCCACAGGTGGGACCTGCATGGCTCAGGGTGCCCCTCGGCACCTTCACTCATTGTCACTGGAGAGACACCAGAGCCAGCTGGGTCTATCACATTCCTCCTGTCAATTGGAAACAGGCCCAAGGAGGAACAGTTTCAACCCTAAACTGGATACACAGGCTTATGTACTCTTCTATATGATCTACCTCAATTCAAAATTATATCCCAAATATAAGAAAAATATTCTATGGAAAAGGTACAGTAAATAAAAGCCTTAGGCATTTAAAATGTAATTGTTAAACATTTTAAGATAGGAAACCCACCCAGAATTTTGAGCAGAGGTTAAGATGGCAGTAAGTACAAATTCAAAAGATAGAGCATTGGAATCAATCCAGATGGTCCGACAGCCAATTAATAGGAGTTCCCAGCTTTATTTTTCAACATAGCACTCATTAGCTTCTTAAAAAATTATATAATTTACTTCTAATTTTTTAATGTTGGTCTTCCCTACCCAGAATATAAGCTCTGTGAGAATAGGAATTTTTGTTTTATTGGCTACATTCCCAGGCCCTAGAAGACTACTCCAAACATAGCAAATACTGAATAATTATTTGTTGAATGATTGAAAAAATGCCTCCAAAGTTTTGAGATAAAATTATTTTGGGCCTAGATTTTATACTCAGTAAAGCTGTCAGGTATGAAGGCAGAACGGGTTCTGTGAATTATCTCCTGTATGCTCTTTTTAGGAACAGTCACTTAAGGCAGCAAAATGACTTATGAGGTAAAAGGAAAACTGCAACTAACCTAGGAGTCCAAACAAAAGAAATTCCTGGATGACAGTTGTCCTAGCAATTGGCCCATGTTAAAAGGGGATATAACCTCTAAACAAGGATGAACTCCACTGAGTAGAATAAGCTGTAATTTTTTTAAAATTGAGGTAACATTGGTTTATAACATTATATGTTTCAAGTGTACATTATAATTCAACTTCTGTATGCACTACAGTGTGCTCACCACCATCCAGCGCCATATAGTTGACCCCCTTCACCCATTTCACCCTCCCCCACCCCTTCCCCTCTGGTGACCAGCAATCTGTTCTCTGTATCTCAGGTGAGGTAGGAACAGTGCCACTCCAGACCACTCTGCCTCAATAAAGTTTCACATATTTCTTACTTTTCCTTGTCTGTTAATGTTAACAATATCCTTGACAGTAAATGAAGATTAAGTTCAGGAATTACCTCTTGGGGAATTTACTTACAACACACAGAGACCTCAGAAATCAAATTTGTATTAGCATTATTTTAATCGGTGCTTCTTCATCCAGATTTATTTCCTTTCTGATCATTATGATTTTCATGTAAGCAAGCTGCCAAAATACATTAGTTCTGATTTTATACAGACTCTAAAAGTTAGGATACAAAAAGCATATAAACATCTACCAGTACCAAAACGTTTATGACCTTATAATTTTATGGTGTAAAGCAAAGGGCACAGATAAGGAATACAAGCAAATTAAAATCTAAAGAGTTATGTAACACTTCTTTTGATTATTTATTAAAATGCAGCAGAAAAGTAAAAGGAACGTTAAGCCTTTATAAACAACTGTGAGCACAGTGTGACAGTGTTTTCTTCCATTTCCTTCTCATGTCCTCAGCTCAGCAGGCACTGGAGACAGCCAGTTTCTTCAAATGGTCCATGAACACCTGCAGGCTAACGTCATCAGTCAGGATGGGCGCTCCTGTTTCCTGAAGTTTAATGAAAAAGGTTTACTGGCAGGTCTCTTAGAAGCTGGTTGGAATTCATGTGTTATTAAGGACCCTTCCCCTCACAAAATTAGCAAGTGCTGTCCGTCTGCCAAGAGCACTCCTGCCACCTAGCCCCGTCCTCTGCCTAGCTAATCTTTTCAACTAAAGCATAATTTCCTCACAAAACCCTTCCCTGATCCACTCATATCAGGTCATTCCTGCCACTACAGACAGTTTTGAGCATATGCCCTTCTACTTTACCCCACTGTGTAGTTCTGATGACTCATCCAGGGTCTGGCTCCCAGCAGGCATGAACTCCTGGGGGCCCACACGCCCCATCTCTCATCTTCCCCACCACCCTGCTGCAACCAGCTTGATGCTCTTAAACGATCTGCTTACAACAGAAGCTTGGTAACAGCGTATTCACAATGTGTGAATCAGTATCCACTAAGCAGATGGATCTCTGCACTATCAAGAAATGCTTATGATTCAATTAACGTTAAGGGAAAAAGTATTGAATAGAAACCTTGATTTCTAACAAGACTCCAATTTGTTAAAAAAATATATACATATGCACACACACAGATATACATGATATATACCTTTTATATTAACTAGAAAGAAGCCAGAAGTACTTAACTCTAGCTAGTAGCGTTCTATGTAATTTAAACTTTCTTTCTAAAATTTTTTTTTGCATATACTAGTCTTCTAAAAATGAAACGGTACTACTGTTATAATCAGAAAAGTATAAGCATGATTAAAGTTTTATAAAAGGATTTCTCTGGGAAGAAAGAGTAGATGTACTTTTCCTCATTCCTTCAACTAATACAACTAAAACCCCTGGATGTTTTATATAAAACAAACATAAGAAGACTTTGAAAGGTGGTGAAAAGGCAGCAGATTAACTAGCGACCCTGGGATGCAGGGAACCACACAGTGGCCAGTTCCCAGGGCTTCCTTTTTGCCTCATGCATGCGCGCCAGACTTGGAGCTGAAAAAGCTGCCAACAGTTATTGAGCACGGACAAAAACTACAACAAAAAGAGCCCACTTTCTCTAGCAAAAGACCAGGGCAGCCTAGCAAGACAGAAAAGGCTAAGCGGATCGTGTAGACTTGCACCCTCACATGGCAGTACTGAGGGACCCAACAATCCCACCAGGGTGGTATCAGAAAAGGCCAAGTATGGAGCCAGGGATTTCATCCCTGCTGGCCAGTAAGAAGTCTCCCTGCACCCATGGTGTCCGCAGAGACCACACAGGGAGCCTGGACTTCCACCCCACACCTGGTAGTAATAAGATGTCCACGCCCCAACCTCTGGGGTGGTATCAGAGAAGGCTTAGTGCAGAGAAAGCACTTTCACCATCACCCACCAGTGACAAGGCCACCTCCACAGGAGGATCAATGGGAACCAGGTGGGGAGCTGGAACTCCCGTCCCCACACACAGTAACAAGAAGTCGCCCTCCACCTCACGTGTCAACAGAGGCCAATGGAAAACCTGAACCCCTGTCTCACCCGGCAGAAATGAAACAATGTACCACCCCCTTCCCTGCCAGAGCAGTGTGACAAAAAGACAGCCAAAACAGGTTGAAATCGATCCAGAGTCTCATAACAAATACGAAAATGTCCACGTCTCAATCAAAAATCACTTGTTATGAGGCTTCCCTAGTGGCTCAGTGGTTAAGAATCCGCCTGCCAATACAGGGGACATAGGTTCGATCCCTGGTCCAGGAAGATCCCACATGCTGCGGAGCAGCTAAGCCCGTGCGCCACAACTACTGAGCCTGCGCTCTAGAGCCCATGAGCCACAACTACTGAGCCTGTGCTCTAGAGCCTGCGAGCCACAACTACTGAGCCCGCGTGCCACAACTACTGAAGCCCGTGCACCTAGAGCCTGTGCTCCGCAACAGGAGAAGCCTCCGCGAGAAGCCCACGCACCGCAACGAAGAGTAGCGCCCGCTCGCCACAACTAGAGAAAGCCCGTGTACAGCAACGAAGACCCAACGCAGCCAAAAATAAATAAATAAAATACATTTATATTAAAAAAATATCACTTGTTATACCAAGAGTCAAGATCTCAAAATGAATGAGAAAAAAGACAGTCAACAGGTGTTAACACTGAGTTGACGACGGTGTTAGAATTACCTGACAAAGACTAAAGCAGCCATGACAAAAATGTTTCAAGGAGCAATTAGGAACACACTTGAAACAAATGAAAACATAAAGCATCAGAAAAGAAATATAAGACAAAGAAAATCCAAATGAACATTTTATAACTAAAAAATACAGTAACATATAAAAAGTTTGAATGCAACAGCAGAAAGGGAACAGAGAAAAGAGTCAATAAACTGGAAGATAAAAATAATAGAAAGTACCCAACTGAGCTGTGGAACTACAAATGAACTAACATTTGCGTCACTGAGGTCCCAAAGAGAAAGGCAGGCAAGGCAGGCTGAAAAAGTATTGTAGAAATTAATGACTGAAAACTATCCAAGTTTGGCAAAAGGCATAAATATACAGAATCAAGAAGTTGGGCAAATTCCAAATAGGATAAATTCAGAGAAATTCACACAAAAACGTATGGTATTTCAACATTTGAAACTAACAAAGAAAAAATTTTGAAAGGGTCCAGAGAAAGATTACATTTTATCAATATTTTTCAACTGCCTAAGAAAAAGGACTGTCACCAGAATCTTATATCCAGAGAAAATATTGTTCAGGATTGAAGAGGAAATCAAGAGATTCTCAAATGAAGGAAAACTAAGAGTCTATCACCAGAAGACTTACCCTGAAAAGAATTGCTAAAGGAAGATTTCTAAACAGAAAGGAAAAGATAAAAGAAGAAACTCTGGAGTATTAAGAAGAAATAAAGGACACAGTAAGCAAAACTACAGATAAAAATAAGAGGTTTTCCATCTTCTCTTAGATTTATAGATTATGGCTGAAGAAAAACTGTAACACTGTCTGATGCACACAAAGGAAACATTTAACACAATTATATCATAAATGGGAGAGGGTAAAGGGACATGAAGTGAGGCTGGGGTAGGTTTTCTATACTTCATTTGAACTGGTAAAAAAGATAACACCAGTAGACCATGATAAGCTAGGTACACATAATGTAATGTAATGCTCTAATATCTAGAGCAACCAAGAATAACCGCTAAAAAATGCTACAAAAAGAGATATACTAAAAAAACCACTGTGAACAAGTTAAAATGGAATTATAAGGAATGTTCAAGTAACCCACAGGAAGGAAGGAAAAAGAAAACAGAAATGAAAAGCACAGAAAACAAAAAAATAAAATGGCAGACTTAATAAGCCCTAACATATCAGTAACTACATTAAATATAAATGGTCCAAATAAGCAAATTTATTATGAGTTTAGCAGAGTAGATTAAAAATATATATAATGATAGAAGCAGGTTGAAAGTTAAAGGATGGAAAGAGGTATATCATGCAAACATTAATTTTTTTGCATAATAAAAAGAATAAAAGAAAGATAAGTGTGGGCTTTATAAAGGCCAGATAAAGTAGATAGTAGTGCAAACAAAATTACCAGAGATAGTGGGGACATCATATAATGATAAAAGGGTCAATCCACCAAAAAGAAAGGGCAATCCTAAGTGTGTATGCAACAAACAACAGAGCTGAAAAATATGTGAACAAAAACCTGACAGAACGCAAAAGAGAAAAACTCACCATTAAGAGTTGGAAACTTCAACATCCTCTCTCAAAAACGGATAGAACTATACAGATAATCAGCAGGGATACGTAAGAACTCAACACCACCATCAACTAACAGGACTTAATTGACATTTATAGGACAATTTATCCAACAATAGCAGAACGCCTATTCAAGTGACCATGGAACATATGCCAAGACAGACCGTATCCTGGGCCATAAAACAAACTTCAACAAATTTTTAAAAATTGAAATAATACAAAGTGTATCCTCTAACCACAATGGAATCAAAATAGAAATCAATTAACTGAAGACAACAAGAAAATCTGTGGAAACTAAGCAATTATTTCTAAATAATCCAAGAGTCAAAGAAGAACCCTCAAGATAAATTTTAAAAGAATATATCAAATTGAATGAAAATGAAAATACAACATAATCAAAACCTGTGGGACACAGCAAAAGCAGTACTGCAAAGGGAATTAAGAGCACTAAATGCATACACTGAAGAGAAGTCTCACGTCAATAATCTAAACTCCTATCTCAAGAACCTAGAAAATGAAGGAAATAAACCTAAAGCAAGCAGAAGGAAGAAAATAAGGATTAGAGCAGATTTAAATGACATTGAAAACAGACAACAGAACAACAAAAGGAAACAAGTATTCAGATTGGAAAGGAAGAAATGAACTGTTCCTACTTGCAGAAGACATGACTGTCTGTAAAAAATCCCAAGGAATCTACCAAAAAACTCCCAAAAGTAATAAGTGACTCAGGAAGGTCACAGGATATTAGCAGTACTCATTCAGTAGAAACCATACACATTTTGAATTGTGGTCTTTTCCTAGGCTACCAACATGCAGTATGATCCTCCCCCGTGATACTGGGTGGCTCCCAGCCACACTGATCATATGGGTCAACCACCAAGACACTCACAACCATTCTGTTTTTCACTTTCAGTACAGCATTCAATAAGTTACATGAGATATTCAACACTTCATTATAAAATACGGTTAGGTGTATTAAATGCATTTTCAAGTTATGATGGATTTATTGGGATGCAATCACATCACAAGCTGAAGAAGATCTGTACTAGCAATGAACAACTGGACACTGAAATTAAAAGTACAGTACCATTCACAATCACTCAAAAAAAAAAGAAAGTGAAAATACACAACACTGCTGCAAGAAATAAAAATAGATTTAATAAATGTTCAGGGAATTCCCTGGTGGTCCAGTGGTTAGGACTTGGCGCTCTCACTGCCGAGGGCCCAGGTTCAATCCCTTGTCGGGGAACTAAGATCCCACAAGCTGTGCGGCATGGCCAAAAAAAAAAAAAAAAATAGTTTATAAGAAACCTGTACAAGGGCTTCCCTGGTAGCACAGTGGCTCAGAATCCGCCTGCCAATGCAGGGGACACGGGTTCAAGCCCTGGTCCAGGAAGAGCCCACATGCCACAGAGCAACTAAGCCCGTGTGCCACAACTACTGAGCCTGTGCTCTAGAGCCTGTGAGCCAGAACTACTGGGTCCGCACGTCTAGAGCCCATGCTCCACAACAAGAGAAGCCACCACAATGAGAAGCCCGCGCACCACAACGAAGAGTAGGCCCCGCTCGCCACAACTAGAGAAAGCCCGCACACAGCAACAAAGACCCAACAGAGCCAAAAAAAAAAAGAAACTGTAAACAACCCAGCTGTCCTTCAATGGGTGAATGATTAAATAAAATGCAGTATGTCTATACCACAGAATACTACTCGGCAAATAAAAAGGAACAAATTACCTATAAATTTGACACTTAAATGAATCTCTAGATAAGTATGCTGAGGGAAAAAAGCCAATCCCAAAAGTTTACGTACCATGTGGTTTCATATATGTAACCGTTTTTTTTTTTAAGTAAATTTATTTATTTATTTTTGGCTGTGTTGGGTCTTCGTTTCTGTGCGAGGGCTTTCTCCAGTTGCGGTGAGCAGGGGCCGCTCTTCATCGCGGTGCGCAGGCCTCTCACTGTCGTGGCCTCTCCCATTGCGGAGCACAGGCTCCAGACGCGCAGGCTCAGTAGTTGTGGCTCATGGGCCTAGCTGCTCCGCGGCATGTGGGATCTTCCCAGACCAGGGCTCAAACCCGTGTCCCCTACATTGGCAGGCAGATTCCCAACCACTGCGCCACCAGGGAAGCCCTATGTAACCGTTTTTTAAAAATTGAAGTATAGCTGATTTACAATGTTGTGTTAACTTCTGGTGTACAGCAAAGTGATTCAGCTATACATACATACATACATATATTTTTTCATATTCTTTTCCATTATGGATTATTACAAGATATTGAATACAGTTCCCTGTGTATGTAACACATGTTAACTTTTTAATGACAAAATTATAGAAATAGAAAACAGGAGATCAGGAGAGAAGTGAGCGTAACTATAAAAGGGCAACATGAGAGATCCTTGTGCTGGTGGAAATGCATATCTTAATGTCCTGGTTATGATACTGTATAACAGTTTTGCAAGATGTTACCACGGTGGGGCGGGGGGACTGGGCAAAGAGCAAAGGGGATCTCTCTGTATTGTTTCATACAACTGCATATAAATTTACAACTACTTCCCAAAAAATGTTATAAGAAAACAGAATGAAAGAAAAGACTCATTTGAGGGAGACATAAATGCTAGGAATAATTAGATAAAGAAGGAAATTGCGGGCTTCCCTAGTGGCGCAGTGGTTGAGAGTCCGCCTGCCGATGCAGGGGACACGGGTTCGTGCCCCGGTCCGGGAAGATCCCACATGCCGTGGAGCGGCTGGGCCCGTGAGCCATGGCCGCTGAGCCTGTGCGTCCGGAGCCTGTGCTCCGCAACGGGAGAGGCCACAACAGCGAGAGGCCCGCGTACCGCAAAAAAAAAAGGAAGGAAATTGGAGCCTAAAAAGTGAAGAGGAGGCAGAAGGAATGGTGAGCATGAGTCCATGTGTTTGCCTTGCACTCCCGGGGGAGACAGAAGTGTGGGGACTCTGGGCAATGCCACTGTGCCTCCGAGGGAAGCACGTGGAGGCCACAGTACAGTGTTCTGTCCTCTGGCCTGAACCTGTCAGACTCTGCTGTGTACTGCAGAAGGGGATCCACACAGGGCGTGTCCCCACCCCCAGCCTACACAGAAGTCCCTAGTCCCCCCTTATCCAGGGTAGGCAGCTTCCAAGACCCCAGTGGCTGCCTCAAACCACAGGTAGAACAGAACCCTGCACGTACTAAGGTTTTCCTGTACAGGTGCTAATTAATATTGGCATATACAGTGTGGAAACACTGGACAAAGATAACGCACTCCCCAGGTAGGAGGGAGCGGGAAGGTGTGAGATTTCACCAGGCTACTCAGAATGGTGTGTAATTCAAAACTAATGCATTATTTCTGGAATTTTCTGACCACAGCCGACCTCAGATAACTGAAACCTTGTAAAGCAAAAATATGGATAATGAGGATTACTGTATTATTCAAAGTTTTCTTCCCAGCAAAATACCCAAGTTACTCTGTCTCTGGGCCAAAAGGGATTCAATTCAATAAATGTGTAGATTTATTTATTTATCTTTTCTTCTACTTTTGGCCGCACCTTGCAGCTTGCAGGATCTTAGTTCCCCAACCAGGGATCAAACCCGGGTCCCGGCAGTGAAAGCGCCGAGTCCTAACCACTGGACCACCAAGGAATTCCCCAATTTGTAGAATTTAAAAACAAGTTTTTAAAAAAGCAGCCTGGCCTCCTCCTCAAATACCTGACAATTACTCACCTGTCCCCAAGCATACAGGTTATTGTGTGTCTGAGATGGATTCACTTTGGACAAAAGGAAGCGAGCCTTTAAAAAAAAAAAGAGAGAGAGATTTAGATTTAAAGATTAAAAGTGGCATTAATATTAGTGTAATAGAAAAAAAAGTTTTTACATTTTTTTTGTTAAATTAGAAACTTTTTACCACATAGGAACCCATTTCTTTAGTTTAAGCCCAGTTTCTCCATTTATTAGGGTTCCTGAAACATGAAGTGTGTTTCATTCTGGCAATCCTCTACCTTACACCAACATATTCTGACCACTCATTTAAAAAGAAGTCATATTTGGAAGCTGACCTGTATGTCAGTTTATGTCACCATATAAGATACGAACCAGGCAGTTTGGATTTATAGCCATGAGAATGCATAATAAAGCCAACAGAGCATCAGGGCCGGGCTGGGCTCGCTCACCTGGCTGCCTCCGTGCTCCGTGTTGATGTACCGCGGCATGGGGAAGCGCGCGTGCAGGATCTCCTGAGCATCGTCCAGGGGTGCCTGCAGAAGGTGCTTGAAGTTTTCGTACTCAGGCATGTCCTGGTAGCCTGCTTTCTGCCACTGGGCTATGGTCTACACCAAAACAAAGAAATAAAAACTACCGTGGAGGTGCTGTGATGACAACCTTCTCTGACGCCCCTGACATTCTAACGTCCCACCCAGAACTTGTTTCCAGTGACGAAGTCTTCTGTCGAGAGAGATGAGTGTCCGAGGGGAGCCATGTGGAGCTGTCCAGGAGCATGAGTAAGCCGAGCACTGCGTCCACGACACTGCCACCTACACAGTCCCGCCAGAAATGTCAGTGCCCACCACACCTCCCCTCCCCTTTCTAACTGTACTGACAAACACCCCGGATCGGGTGCCCCAAGGGGCCCTGGGCTCCCCTGCTTTCCACCTCCCCCGCTATCACTCGGTCTAGCCCTCACATCCTCACCACCCCTGGTAGGGAACGGGGTTTGCCGGCTTCCTATACAGACTCCACTGTCCTTTCTTTTTCCTGGTGGTACACATCTCACGCCCTCCTCCGGTGCACGGCAGTCCCACGGGCGGGTGGGACCGACTACACCCCAACCCCTGCTCCCCTGGGCCCCGAGCCTCTTGGTGGTGGAGATAAACTGTAAGAATCAAAGCATGTGTGTTAATTAGGCAACAAGCAGAAGGCAATACACCAAAGTGTGGAAAGGAAAGACTGTCTCTCCAGCTAAACATGGTGTCTCAATCCTTCTTTCATTCCCGTCAGCAACTGTGTTAGGAAACACACCTTAATCACGCCGGAAATGAAGAAATACTCACTGACTGATTAATATATCTTTATAACTAAATGGAAGTGCTTTCACATGTTATTTGGGGGATACTAAAAAAGAAAGCAATGGAGAAAGAAAATGGAGTAAGAAGATGTAAGAAGTGAGGAATGTGTTCTGGAAACAGAACTGCTGTCAGGAGACCAGCCTGCTCTCACCTCCGCTGCGGCACCAGCGCCGTTTCCCAGGTCTTAATTTCTGACTGGCTGGCAGCATGGAGGGAATGCCCATCGGCTTGCTTGGGACCAAGAGTTCATAAGAACCCCCGCAATCAGAATGCTTAGGACTTTTAAAGGGCGAGAGCGAGGTCATCTGCCTTCATCTTTAGAACCTATCCCTTGCACACAGAAGGTGCTCAATCAACGTGTAAAGGAACAGGATAGCGGCTGTAGTCAGAGATGTCTATAACGGATGAGCTGAAGACACAGGAAGCTCCTGAAGGCATCAGTGGAAACAGCAGCTGGTCGGTCAACCAGCCTTAAGTCTAGGACCACTACCGATGACCTGGCACCTGTGGCCAAGTGGCTAGCAAAGTGGCTGTTAATACACTGAAAACAGTTTAAAGTTATAAAATGCCTGTTAGTATTAGAAAAACCATTTCTTTCTAGGGCATTAAAGAATGCTGAAACACAATTTACATCTTTTCAGGACATTTGAAATCACTTCTAATGTACAGACACCAGGAAGTCAAGTCAGTTGCCCAAGCAATGTACTAAAGGTAAAAAATGTACAATAGACAAAAAAGAGAATATATCCATGAATATAACACTCAGTTAAAGGATTTTCTCCTGAGGAGCCATTCCTTTCCTTAGGGCATGAACCTCTTTGAGAAAGAAATGCATGCTGCCCTGAACACCATCCACAGCCATCCTAGGGATCCAGAGACCTGGCATAAGGTTCACTGGGCCACATTATCTCAGAGAAAAAACTCTAGTCGCAAACTTAGCAGTATTTACTAGCGACTCTAACATAACTCTGAAAGGACAGTGTGAATATAAAAAGTTTACTGACGAAAAGTAAACTGATCTTGCCTGACAACTCAGAAAGCAATAAATCATAGTGATTTAAAAGGACCACCTGAAAAACAGTATGGAGGTTTCTCAAAAAACTAAAAACAGAACTACCATATGACCCAGCAATTCTACTCTCCTGGGTATATATCCGTAAAAAACAAAAACACTAATTCAAAAAGACACATGCACCCCAATTTTCATAGCGGCATTCTTTATAATTGTCAAGATATGGAAGCAACCTAAGTGTCCATCAACAGATGAATGGATAAAGAAAACATGGTAGATATATAAATGGAATACTACTCAGCCATAAAAAAGAATGAAAATTTGCCATCTGCAACAACATGGATGGGCCTAGAGGGTATTCTGCTAAGTGAAATAAGTCAGACAAAGACAAATACTGTATGATATCACTTACAAGTGGAATCTGAAAAATGTAACTAGTGATGTAACAAAAAACAAGCAGACTCACAGGTATAGAGAACAAACGAGTGGTCTGTGGAGTGGGGGGCAGTGTATATACAGGTGGGGGAGTGGGAGGTACAAACTACTGGCTCAAGGACGTGTTGTACAACATGAGAAAAGTAACCTTTAAAAAGTGTATAGGGCTTCCCTAGTGGCACAGTGGTTGAGAGTCAGCCTGCTGATGCAGGGGACATGGGCTTGTGCCCCAGTCCGGGAAGATCCCACATGCCGCGGAGCGGCTGGGCCCGTGAGCCATGGCCACTGAGCCTGCGCGTCCGGAGCCTGTGCTCCGCAGCAGGAGAGGCCACAACAGTGACAGGCCCGCGTACCGCAAAAAAAAAAACCCCAAAAAAACAAAAGAAAAACAAACAAACAAAAAAACAGTGTATAAAAAAATTAAGGAATTCCCTGGTGGTTAGGACTCCACGCTTTCACTGCCGAGGGCACAGGTTCAATCCCTGATCGGGGAATTAAGATCTCGCAAGCCTTGCAGCATGGCCAAAAAAAAAAAGGACAACCTGACATTTACATATAGCAAGTAATATTAAAATTACTGAATATACAAATACCACCTTTTTTCCGGGTCCTGAAAAGGAATTTTATTCACTAGCATAAAAGCCACTATACTCATTATAATAAACTGTGGGTTTTCTAAGCTCAAATTCTTTTTTCAAATGTCATAAAATTAGTAAATTAGTAAAACATTATAGTAAGAAAGAAATTAACTTCATCTTACCTCACCAAGATAAATGACAATTTGGAAGAATGTGTCCATCAGCAAAATTCTGTCAGCTAGAATGCTGCTACTGTCCAGGAGCACAGGCTGAAGCAAAAGAGAGATGGCATGGGTCTTCCCTCGGTGTCCACACGGCCACCTGCCAACCCCACACCCAGCAGGGAGGGTCTCATCTTCGTGCCAAATTCCCGCATTCTGCTCCCTGACTAGGCAGTTCTAGATTTCAACTTTGTAGAAAACACAGGCTCTAAATAATCTCTCATCAACGGGGAAGTGAGATGAATGTTATTATCTTTTGCTCTAGGAACCAGAAATAATTCCAAATTTTCTCAGTTTTGTGCTAGAAATATATTCTATCAGAGACACATTTCTCTCAAATCTACTGCTATAGATGACAGAGAACTCCAATGCCTACATGAAAAAGAACATCCTTTAATACAAATTTTAAAGTTTCCTACAAAATACATTTGACTATGACTTTTATTTCAATAAGAAAAGTAACTTAAACTTACATTCATTAAGCAAAATTTGAAAATTTCTACTCAAGAACAACAAATATTGAAATTTTGGTGTATTTCCTTATAGTTTTTAATTCTTGCAGGCTTTTAAAAAGTCATAATTTAGAAAAGTTTCTACTTTTTTATTTAACATAAGGATTTATTTTATTATGTTACATAAGCTTTGTGAATATTTCTTAGATTACTTAATTTTCCTGCTATTGAACATTTAAATTGTTTTCTAATTATACACGTCCTATGACTTTTTCCTATGCACATTTTTTTTTTAATACTCAGAAATAATGTTAAATTACTATAAAGACTCAAAGTTTTCTTTTTTACAGTTTGGCTCTAAGAGTAAACGTGCTAGAAAAAAGTCTGTATTAGGTGATTCCAACTGTGGGAGAAGCACTCACAGCGGCCCTTACCTCTGGCGGCCCGTGGAAGGAATAGGAGTAGAGGATGGGCTGGATCATGATGAGGGACTGGGTTAGGTCCTGTCGGGCAAAGTGGTGTCGATAATACGACGACTCATCAGGGCTGTTGTTGAAGACTTGAAGAAACGGAGACCTCCTCAGATGGAACATGAACTGCATTTACAGAGAAAAAGACAAATGCACACAACTGTCACCTTCCTAGACACCCAGAGAGCAGACCTGCCCCCGCCCTGGTAACAGGAGAACCCAGCCCTTAGGAACAAGGCCTCTGGGTTCAATGAACCAGAGTGGAATGGCAGCCCCGGGGGCCAGGGAGGAGGGAGGGGAGAGCTGCTGTTTAATGGTACAGAGTTCAGGTTCGTGAGATGAGAAAGTTCTCGAGATTCCCTGCTCAACAATCAGACATACGTAACACTACACCACACTGCACACTTAAACGGTTAAGGTGGTCAATTTTATGTTATGGGGTTTTCACTACAATTAGAAATAAACATAATTTTTAGAAAAAGAGGGGGCCCTCTGGGCATGTCAAAGCTTCTGCATGAAAGAGGCAAGGCAAAGCACTGCTTTCTGGAGTCACCGGGCCAGGTCGCAGAGCAGAGTTTCCGCTCTGAAGAGGTCACAGTCCAGTGGAGAAAAGGCGCACTCAGGGCCCCAGCGCAGGAAAGTCCTGGTATGATGGGGTGGGGGTGGAGGTGCAGCAGGAGCGTCCCCAAAGCCACTGGGGCCTAAAAGACGTGCGAGAAGGAGCCAGAGGCAGCAGAGGGACGCCAGGCACAGTGACAGCACAGGAGAGGCCAGAGTGCTGAGACAGAGGCAGAGCGCTGGGAGTGAGGAGCTCAAGGGAGAAAAGGCCAGGAGTCGCCACTGCAGACAGAGATGCATTCCTTCCAGCCCCCAAGGAGCAGGGGCGGGAGAGCAGCTGTTAGCTCACGCTAAAGAGCTGCCAGAAGATGAAAATGACCTGCCTTGAGAAGTACAAAGCTTCCTGAGAGGGACTTCCCTGGTGGCACAGTGGTTAAGAATCTGCCTGCCAATGCAGGGGACATAGGTTGATCCCTGGTCCAGGAAGATCCCACATGCTGCAGAGCAACTAAGCCCGTGCTCCACAACTACTGAGCCCGCGCGCCTAGAGCCTGTGCTCCACAACAAGAGAAGCCACTGCAATGAGAAGCCCGCGCACCGCAACGAAGAGTAACTCCCGCTCGCCGCAACTAGAGAAAGCCCGTGTGCAGCTCTGAAGACCCAACGCAGACAAAAATAAAACAAACAAAGCTTCCTGAGAAGCTTTTAAATATAATGAATTGTAGGTTCCTAAATTATGACCCAGGCTGATACTCGGCACATCCTACGTACAGGGCACAGAGCGCTGGACAAGAATGATCGAGTCCCCCTGACAAGCCACGAGGAAAGCTCTCTTACCACCCCTAGTTCACAGGCAAGGAGACCGAGGGGCAGGCAACTTGCCCAACACCCCTCGCCACTGAGCGGTAGGGCCGGCCTCTGCTCCAGGCTGCCTGGCTCTGGACCTCTATGCTACACGCTTCAACAGAAAGAATCTAAGAAATCACCTAAATTTGGTGGTTTTCAAACTGCCCTCCGAGCCTCAGCAGATCCTCGGGGCCCAGGGGTGCGGGTCACCACGTCTGTCTGCTCTCTGTGCTGGCTGTCGAGAGGCTCCTCTTGAAGAAAAGATTCCCCGGCTTTAGAAAGACTGCATGCCACTTCCCAGACCAACTCCATCCTTCTGAAGAGGTTCGGGACCTCATCCAAGACCGGCAGCAACACAGCCAGCACTGGAACCCGGTTCAGCCCTGACCCTGGCCGGGCCTGGCCTCTTTCCACAGCACTGTCCAGCCTCAACTGCTCGGGCACAGGACAGACAGGCACACGGCGGGGACTGCAGAGCCCTACTCTGGGCTGAGCGTCCAGTGAGGAGACCTCTGAAGCCCCCCTCCTTTAGCCCTGAGTCCAAGCTGTACAAGTTCATGACTGAGGCCTGCGTCCACTTGCCAAATCGAGTATTCAAAAAGGTAATACCCGATGGAGTATCAAAGTCCTAACAAGTTCACTTAAGGTTGAGAGTTTGCTTCTTCCTACTTATTCCTCATTAAGGGAGGAGGGGAAAAAGGTTGAGTCTGCCTCCAGTTCTGGGGAAGCTGCATCTGTGAGGGCCCCGACCTGCACACCCCGGGCCCAGCTGCGGAGCTGGCTCCTGGCCGCCAAGCCAAACGGGTGCCTGGCCCGCGGCGGACCCGGGGTCAGCCAGCCTCGCCCCTGAAGCGGAGCTGAGCCCCAGCTGCCACACTTACAGACGAGGGTAGAGGCTCAGAAAAGGCAGCACCCAGACCCCCGGCTGTGGTGCCTCGCTCCACCACCCCCTCCCGGCTCCGAACGTTTCCACACACCTGGTCCCCGCCATGCGTGGGTCTTCACAGTCACGACGCAGCACAGCCACTACAGACACGTCAACAACGTCTACCATGGTAACTGCGGTCTCATTTTGCTGCGTTCATGTTCACGCGTGACCGTCCACCCAGAACTTCTACAAATCAGAGGTCGTGTTGTGGCCTCACAGCAACAATCCTGTTTTGCCTTCTCCCCAAAGTCTGTGCACCTGCTCTCTGCGTGTCACCCGCGCCTTCCGTGGGGCTCAGGCACTGTCTGGCCTTGAACTGAACGACCTCATCACCTCCAAATGGAGTCTCAAAACACACAGAGTCCTGACTTGACCCCGAGAGCAGCGAGTTTTATTTCTATCACTTTCTTCTTTAGTTATTTTAAAAAACATATATTACTTACCTGAGGATATAGAGAGAAGGAATCTGATAACCTAAAAGATGCGGGGTCTTCTTTGGTATATTGTCCAAACTTCTGACACTATTGAGAGAAAATAGAAAAAACAACAACAACAACACACAAAAAACCTAAGTGAGTGTCACCTGAGAACTCCCTGGAGTAGGAGGGCCATGCCCCACTCTCAGCTCCGCCCCTGCCTGCCCGAGTTCCAGCCCAGCCCCCCGCAACACCCAGGGGATGTTAAATGCAGATCTGGGGGCAGGGGTGCTGAAGGCCCCACGTTCTAAGCAGCTTCCAGGCGATGCCGGCCGAGGCTGCTCCAACAGCGAGGGGCTTGAGAAGCCTTCTCAGGCGCCTCTTCCATAAGAAAATCCTCCAGGACTCTGACATCCTAGCAGTTACAGACAGGCCTAATGTTCTATTATTCTACAACTCCATTTTCTTCTCCTCTCACAGGCAAACCTCTGAACATTTTCTCTTCCTGCCTTTATTTCCTCTTCATGTCATACTTCATTTCACCAGGGAGGCAGATGCCCACCATCTAAAGAGAGCTCATCTCTGGGAGTGACCCTCTTCCGACCGCATCCTTGCACAGACCTCACCTTCCTCAACTCCCTGCCACCGTGAGCCATGTGACTCCCCGAACCTCCTGACCCCTTCCTTCAGCCGCTGCAGCAGTGCTTTCCTACATCCTGTCACCTCTCCGACTGATTTTCTTTGCCTCATCCGACAGCCCGTCTCCCTATCTCCTCCTGACGACGGTGGGCTCCCCTGAGGTTAGTTCCTGGCCCTCTGCTCCCATCCTCCTTGCCTTGGCTACACACGACATGGCGGCCAGGCCAGAGTCACCCAAATCCCTCCCCCACATGCAGTGCTGACCTCCGACCCGAGCTCCTGTCAGGACCTATCCTAACTACAGGGTGGCTTTCCTTGGACATGCAAGTTCACATTCAAAATAAATTAAACTAGTACATTAGAAAAGGGGATTCCCCTCCCTCCCCCCTCACAGCTGCTCTCCTTTCCTGTTTCCCACTGCTCCATCATTCTTGCAGTTGCCCACACTTAAAACTTGAGTTAGCGTTGATGTTCTTCTTTTTTTTTTTTCTGGTACGCGGGCCTCTCACTGTTGTGGCCTCTCCCGTTGCGGAACACAGGCTCCGGACGCGCAGGCTCAGCGGCCATGGCTCACGGGCCCAGCCGCTCCGCGGCATGTGGGATCTCCCCGGACCGGGGGACGAACCCGTGTCCCCTGCATCGGCAGGCGGACTCTCAACCACTGCGCCACCAGGGAAGCCCGATGTTTTTCATTTTTGATTCCACGTATAGTTCTACCAAGTTTGGTCAATTCTTCTCTCGGCATACAGCCTGATTCCAAAGCTTCTCTCCCCTCCAGCTGTACCACCGCCACCTTGGTCTCAGCTCCCTGGAGCCGGCGAGATCCTCCGCTGGCCTCCGTAGCAGCAGCCCTTTCGCCCTCCGATTTACCTTATACAGGGATGGCGAGTGCAGTGTGAACACAGCGTCACGCTGCTCTCACGCCCCCGCCTAAGAACCACGCTTAACCCTTCCCCTCTAACACCCAGGCAGAGACTTCACTTTACAGTCAAGGCACTGCTCAAGCAACCTGCACCTGCACTGCTGCTCCCCCACCGTAGTCGCTGGTCACCCGTGACAGCGGCCTCTCCAGGGTCCCCAGCATGAACTGAATGCCCAGCTACACCCCACAGGCTTGTGGGTGCTGGGCCCTCCACTTGGCAAGCCTTGCCTTCTACTCTCTTTAAAAAGACTTGACTCAAGGCTCACTTCCCACCAGAAGCCTTCGCCAACCACTTGGACTCTCTGCTCAATTTCAAATTACGTTTGCAATGCTGACATTCCCTGAAAAAATGATTCTGTGGGACAGCAAGGGCACACACAGGGCTAAACAAAGTTCAATAAGTTTTGTTACTGTGCTTTTCAGGACCTTTGATCACTAACACGTGCTGTGAATTTACAAACAGTAAGATCATAAGGTATCTCAATTATTGATTTATTGCTTTGTGTTTCCAAACTTACCCTTTTCGCCGGCTGTGAGATGGATCTGGGGCCCTTAAATATTTTTCCCCAGCCAGGGCACTACGTTAGGCTTGGTCAGCGGATGGTAGCAGCGTCTTCACGCAGCACTGGCGCCTGTAGCCCCCCAGCCCCGTTCGCCCCTGCTGAGACGCCTCCTGGTGAACGGTTTTCTCGGCGCCACAGAGGGTGAATTTCTACTAAGTTCCTCCAGCAGGCACCACGGCAACATCTCTGCTCTAAGAGACCCAACGAGCCATGGCCCTGCCCCACCTGGGGCTCCGTCAGCCCTGGGAGGATGCGGGTCTTGCTGGGGTGCTCTACCTCAGCCTGGAAGTAGCACCCCTCAGATCTACTATCCTGTATCCTTCAGACTTCTCTTTACCTCTTACTAGCCAATCCCTCATTATTCTAATCCCCTGTTGTGACACTAATTCTTTATATAACACTCCCCCTGTTTAAACTACCGCGTGGCTTCTCTCTCCTGATTAGACCCAGAATGACACATCAGGCATCTCCTCACACTCACTGGGCCACGGACCCCTACTTCCCCCCAAACCCTCCAAGATATAGAGGGAAAACAGAGAACCACAAGATACACAGGGACTCATCTAAGTCAACCCTCAACACACTCAGATTTGTACCATTACCTAAACGGCCTGTGTGTGGTGTTTCTTCCCAACTGTAACATGAGCCCTTGGGGGAGATGCATATTTAACACTTCTTTTACATCATTCTCAGAACGTCTGGTGTTTGGCATGAGGTAAGCCACTAATAAAATTCTTATTTACTGGCTGTATAAAATAATAGGTTTAAACAACAGTTTTCTCAAAAGTAGACCAGAGACCAAGACTGAACGTAGTGCCACTGTCCCCAGCTTACCAGTCGGATGAGCTGTCGGTCCAGCCACCGGAGCACATCTGGCCCCTCCTCCGACTCCGCTCGGAACACTCCCAGCCGCGCCATCAGGACCGCTGCAGCCTCCTGGTCAAATGCTGCTTCGATGTGTTTGAGCTGACTCTGTGCATCTGCCCAACTGACCATTCCAGAGTGAGTGCTGTGCTTGCATGCGGGAGAGGCCTGAGAGCCGGCTCTCCAATAAGACACAGACATGGATACATGACAAAGAGGGGTGTGTGTGTGTGTGTGTGTGTGTGTGTATGTGTGTGTGTGTGTGTGTGTGCGCGCGCGCGCGCGTGCGTAATCTGTTCCAGTATTTTTACACACACACACTCACACTCACACACTGGAATATTACTCAGCCATGAAAAAGAATGCAGTTCTGCCATTTGCAACAACATGAATGGACCTGGAGGATATTATGCTTAGTGAAATAAGTCAGACAGAGAAAGACAAGTACTAAATACTCTGTGTTACCACTTATATGTGGAATCTAAAAAATGAAACAAACGAATATAACAAAACAGAAACAGACTCACAAATATAGAGAACAAATTAGTGGTTACCAGTGGGGAGAGGGAAGGGGAGAGGGGCATAAGAGGTAAAAACTACTATGTATAAAATAAATAAGTTAAAAGAATATACTGTACAGCATAGAGAATATAGCCAACATTTTGTAATAACTTTAAATGGAGTATAAACTATAAAAGTTTCAAACCACTATATGATACACCTAAAACTAATATAATATTGTAAATCAACTATACTTCCAAAAAACTTTTTTTTCAAAATAAAATAAGATAAAATGAATGAGGTAGAGGCTTTTATGCACTGACATGGAAGGTGTCCTTGACACATTCTTGCGAATATCTTCACATAAGCCATCACGTATATAATATACACATGTGGTCTATAACTGCACAGAAATGGGATTGTGAAGTTACATGTCACATGTCAGTACAGTGATAGCATTTTACCTCTGGGGAGAGTGGGAGAAACCCATTCTTTACATACTTATGTGCTGCCTGAATCTTTTATAAAGAGGGTATATTTATGGGTCACTTATTTCATAAATAATGAAAAATGACTTTTAATGAACTTATTCATACTGAAAGGAGAGTCTTCTAAGCCAGCAGTGCCTCCTCCTCGTCCTGCTCTGATCAAATGAGCCAGTGAGGGCTGGTGAGAACCATTCACTCAGCAGAATCACAGAGATAAACTACTAGATGTTAGATTCTCTCTCCATAGCAAAAAGCCAGAGGTTCAGCGGAGAGGAAGCCAGGGCCACTCACTTGCGGGCGATGGTAGTCACGCGGATGCGCCGCTGGGTGCTGGAGTGCTGGTAGTGCGTGACGAACTGGATGGCGCCGCGGCCCCCCTGCGGGATCGGGGCGTTGTGCTGCAGGATGAGAGGCCAGCACCCATTACTGTCACCACATGACCCCACACAAGCGGTCACAGAGCCTGTGCACTCGTCCTAAGACGATTGACACGGCAGTGACCGCAAGATTCTTGATGCGTTCTGAATGGTCCACTTAAATTCGGGGCATTTCACTGTTTGCAACTTTTACCTCAAAAAAGAGAACCATATGGAAATAAATACTGAACGTGAGTTGATATACACGTTAAAGGGTTTAGGGATGAAAGACACTGGTGACTGCAATTTGCTTCGAAATGCATCCAAACACAATGAATTGGGGAATGGCTAGATGTGTAACAAATCAAACACAGCAAAATGTTAGTTACAGAACCTGAGTGGTTGATACTTGGGTATTCACTATACAATCCTACTTATCATTCTGTACGTTTGAATTTTAAAAAATAAAATACTGGGGAAAAACTGACACACTCAAAAATTCACCAACATTATGATGGCTGGCAAAAGCCATTCCTCTTCTGATGACCTTATCAGTTCAACAACAAATTGACAAAAGCAGTTTGCTGTCTGACTCTGACCATACCCTGGAAGGAATAAAAATGATGTCAGACTAAGATCAGGCTAAACACAAGCCCAAAGTAGCATCACTTTGTGGAGAAAGAAACCGGAGGCCACCAGTCTGTAACAAATCAGAAAACACAACATTGAGACGCAACTATTCACGAAAAAATGCAGCCCACCTGATTGACTACTTCAAAGTAGATGCCGAGCGTAGACGTGGGATCCAGGCCACAGATTTTCCACTGACTCGTGCCACCAACACCAAGCTCCTAGGGGAGAGAAGAGGGATTAAAAAGAAATGAAACAAAAAAGATGCTCCTGTGATTACCTGCTGATGAAAAGCACTGACTCTGAGAAGGGCAGGTCCCTTAGAATATCTCATTCCAAATGAAAATTTAAATTTCGGGACTTCCCTGGTGTTCCTGTGGGTAGGACTCTGCACTTTCACTGCAGGGGGTGCGGGTCCCATCCCTAGTCGGGGAACTAAGATCCCGCATGCCACGCAGTGCGGCCAAAAAAAGGAAAAAAATATTTTCTTTTAAATTTCACTGAAAAAAGTACAATTACAGACCAGAATAAAATTTAACATTTATTACAGTACTTTACAATTAGGCTTTTTATACTGGCACTCTGGTCAGTTTTCATTACGTCGTTGAGCTTTCTCTACACACACACACACACACACACACACACACAAAATACATAACACTGATGTCAACTGAGAGAATCAGGTCAGGGATGGGGATGAAGTAAATACTTGAAAAGAAAAAGAATTACCTGCTTAGCTTGAAAGATTTATGTACTTCTTCCACCATTATTAGAACAAGAAATAATTACAGAACTTTAGCTGTTAAATATTAATTTTTAACCCAATTCCTTTATGCAAAAGCTACATATAAATTCTTGGTAAGACAACTGAGATTTTAATCATGTGAAGGCTGCTTTGGGTTGACTAGTTGAATGACTCCCAGCAATAAATAAGAAGTTCACTTGGGCTTCCCTGGTGGTGCAGTGGTTGAGAGTCTGCCTGCCGATGCAGGGGACACAGGTTCGTGCCCCGGTCCTGGAAGATCCCACATGCCGCGGAGTGGCTGGGCCCGTGAGCCATGGCCGCTGAGCCTGCGCATCTGGAGCCTGTGCTCCGCAAAGGGAGAGGCCACAACAGTGAGAGGCCCGCGTACCGCCAAAAAAAAAAAAAAGATCACTAAAACATGAAGGGTATCACTGTTTTAAGCATGACATCTAGAAGAAAAGTCTGCAGGTGTCAAATACCTAGAACCATTAACCAAGAAGATCACTAGACTCTGAAACATACATTTGATCATTCTAGAGACAGTGAATACTACGCATTTTAACACCTCATTATAATATGGGATACCATCCTTAGAAAGTAACACAATTATGCATCAAGAGAGTCATGATACATGCCTCTTCTGTTACTCTGAATCCACCCAAACTGTACACTGTGAGCTGAGTACAGCTGACACCAGTCCGGTCTCTCTACAAAGCCATGCCAGGAGCCCATGTCCCTGGCCACAGAACCAGCAGTCTCAGGAAGGTGATGGTCAGAGGGGAAAGGGAAAAGTCACAGCTCTACAGTGCAGGCTGGGGAGGACACCCTGCGTTTCACAAGTCTTTCCTAAGCAAGATCGTGAGACGAATGGATTCCTAGGTGTTCACCTTCCCTTTCAGGGCCTTTTCTAAAAGAGGCACATAACATCTGCTGGACAGTGAAGGCTGCACCCACGAACAATGGCAAGGAAGTAAAAGGAGCCTGTCTGCCCCCCTTTCTTGCCTTGCTAATCCCTTCTCTCAAATCTCTCTCCACACCTTTTGACTCCATTTTTAATACGAAACCATTTTAATACGAAACTCCATTTTTAATACAAAACTAAATCAAGGGGATTCAGAGCATGTCACCCAAAATATGCCAGGCTGGCATAAAGATTATTTTAAGCTGTAGGTAATTATTAAAAAGAAGACATAAGGGGCTTCCCTGGTGGCGCAGTGGTTGGGAGTCCGCCTGCCGATGCAGGGGACACGGGTTCGTGTCCCGGTCCGGGAAGATCCCACATGCCGCGGAGCGTCTGGGCCCGTGAGCCATGGCCGCTGAGCCTGCGCGTCCGGAGCCTGTGCTCCGCAACGGGAGAGGCCACAACAGTGAGAGCCCCGCGTACCATAAAAAAAAAAAAAAAGCAGACATAAGAAAACTCTCTATCCTCCTCCTACCAGGAAGTCAGGAGCTTCTTAACCATCAAAGACAATGCTAGATGCTTATCAGTCCAGAGGCAGCACCAGAAGAATATATGTAACAACTCTTGGTAAAACAATCTTCCTTTCCCATCCGTCTCCCCCATCTGTCTACTCTTCCACAATTTGCCACCCCTAGAAGATCAAGGTCCCTTTCCTTTGTCTTGTCACTTATCTACACATTTATTGTAAAAGAACATTTATTGTTAAGATGCAACTAATCCCAAGGTCTAACTCCCTCTGAGTGACTCATCACTGAGTATGTACGTGCTGTGTTATGTGTGTGATGCACACATTAATAAACTTGTTTGTTTTTCTCCTGTTAAGCTGTGTTTCGTCAGTCTAATTTGCAGGGTCCCAGCTAATGAAACTAAGGTGGGTAGAGGAAAAAGAAAAATTTCCCTCCCCTATAGCACCAACCCTCAAGCGTGGCCACAAACCCTCCAGAGTCCCACAAGCATTGTATTCTCTCACCAATACACAAATTCCTTACGTAAGCATCTACCCTGCCTTGATCAGAAGAACTGTAAAGATGGAATTAGGAAGTCACCAGTTTATTGTGATTCAAATACACTGATTCAGGATAATCAATGGATAACCTAAAACCATAAGGTGAAAGGCTACTGGCAAACAAGATACTCATGTTGTGCTACAATCTTGTTCAACAGATCTCCTGCTAATGGCAAAAAGGAAACGGGCCCCTGTAATTGAAGGACAGTCATCACCTCACCACAACTCAGCATGAGGTACACAGATCACTCAGGAAGCATGGGGGACAGAAAGGTTTAACCCGAATCTAATCATTCATCTAACCTCCACTTCACAGCAAATACAGCGAGGACAGAAAACAAGTCAGACAAGGAAACAAACATACGGAGACACTCAATTACAGAAGACTCCTGGCATTGGCACTGTCTCTTCAACAGACCAACATCATCAAACAAAACAAAACAAGCAAAAAAGCCTAAATAAAATGACAGGAAGACCATCCTACATTTTAAAAGACTAAGGATATGTATTATCAAATACAATAGTGGTTAGAGAGGAAAAACAGCTGCAAAGGACATCTGGAGAGAAATTAGGGAAAGAATATGACTATATGTTAGATGATATTAGGAAATCATTGTTTTCTAAGGTTTGAGAATAACGGAGAAGACCCTTGTCTTCAGAAGATGCACACCGCAACACTGACAGACTAAGTGTCAAGACGTCTGCAACTTGCTTTCAAAAGCAAAATATTGATATGATAAAAGAATATGGCAAACAGATGAAATCAGGTAGATAACACAAATGTGGCCAAAACGAGGACAGAGGAATTATGACAAAATGTCAACGATTACGGACTCTATGTGGTGGGGATACAGACTCATTACGCTCTTCTCAAAACTTCCCTGTGTGTCTGAAAACTGTACTTTCCTCCCCTCCTCCACCCCCCATCCAAAAATTTCACGGCTGAAACCTACTGGATCCTGGAACAGCTGTACTAAGTTATAATACCTTCTTAGGCAGATATTAAGTCTGTGGAGAATGTGCTGGAACAAGGCAGCCTCCCAAAGCCTAAGAGTACACGTCCCTGAGTACATGGGGGTAACGAGGGACTCGCCACAGGGGCTTGGGCAACAACCTGCCTCACCCGGAGGGTTACAGGAATATCCTCTCAAAAAGCCTGCCTCTGGTAACTTCAATAAAAACTTACTCTAAGTAGTCACTAACGAGTGCTCATTGCTGATGAGGACAAAAGCTTCAATGGGAAAGGTGAAACCCAGTGTGGGCGTCCTGGGTACTGCTCTAAGTGCCTCACCTGGGCTGCTCGTGGAGTCCTCCCAACAGTGCTGTACAGTAGGTCCCATTGCTGCCTTCATTTCCCGGACAGAGATGCTGGATCCCGGAGGCATGAAGCACCTCGTCAGGGCCACACCTGCACCCTGAGCCCACGCCCGACTCTCCCATCCAGCCTCACGTTGAAGAGGACGGTGAGGGAAAGACGTGACTGTGACAACCCAGCCCAGACCCACCCTGGACAGGCCTCACTGGACCAAAAGTGTACACTTGGCAGCTCAAGTGTCATCAGAGAAAGTGGGCCACCAGCAAGGCCATCTCCCCACCTAGTGAGAGCTGAACTTCGTTCCATGTACTCAAATCTGTCACTCAAGGAACACCGCTGTCTACATGCGCCACAGTGTCACCCACTGCCCAACCAGCTCAAAACGGTCTCTGTGAAGCGAGACAGAGGGAGCCCTTACAAGGGCAATAAGCACACGGGTCTGTCCCTGCAGGACTGTGCTGCACAGAATGCAACGCCTGGTAGCTCTCTGGCGCGGCCACCCAAGAAAGGGTAGTCGGGTGGGGAACATGGTCCCTACCTAGCTCCCCCGTTGTCATCTCTGACCCTAAGCAAGACACTTAACCTCTCTGAGCCTCAGCTTTCTCCTCTCTGACCGTTCAGACCAATGGATGGAAAGACAGAAATGACACTACCCCTCAGGGCTATGGGCGTCAGTGAGTTACCCCTCTCTCCTCACCACAGACACAAGCCAACAGGTGACACGATGCAAGGTCATCCAGCCCCGACACGTCTAAGGGGTCAATTCCCAGGCAAAGGAGGTGAGGGTGATGGAGGAGTTTTCCTTACGTTTTCTGACACACATGGTCCTTTCACGTTCAGAGACACACAAGGGCCTATGGCTCCGGCAACCTTCAGTTCCCGCGAGGTCTGAGGCAGAATTAACATAAGAGCAGACAGTTAACAATCACCAAGAACCACCCCCTCACAAAGGACACAACTAAAACGGCAGGGTTATTATTCCACCAAGGGAAAATCCTACAGGGATTCTAGCATGCAAAAGCTTGTATATGCGTCTCCAGGGCTGCTGTGAACTGACTAAAACTTTAATAAAACCCTCCTTTAGTAACAGAGTTATCTTTGTTCCAAAGATGCAGCAGCATGTTCTACCTTCTCAACTCTGAAATTATCGTGCACACAGAAGACAGCAATTCTACCAATACTACATTCTTCTCCTGTGCCACAAACCTGTTGTAACTAGTTACAAATGTCAATCAGGGAATATGCTGTTTTGTGTTGCTTTAAAAATACTTAATTTATGAACTCCAACACAATGACGAGGCCAGCATACTCAGACTTTTAAATCTGAATTCATTTCAGCAAAGTCCATCCTTCTTCAACTTTTTAAAAAAACCTCCAACATTGGACAACGTTGTTTAAAGTTTAACCTAGATGATTTAATGATTATTGCCAATTTGCAAAGTAATATTTGCCATCATATTTTCTAACGGCCCCTTTGAATGTTTTCTCAATGACTCAGAATCAAGCGTATAGAGCGATCAGTCCCTACGTGGAAAAACAAAAGCCAAACTCCCAATGCTGCCCCATTGTAGAGCGCCCTGGCTAGTCTGCAGGCAGGCGCTAAACACAAACCGGTGGCTGGGTGGGCACTTAGCCCACCACCTTCGTAAGGCCTGCTCTCCCTGCAGGGGGAGCAGACATCTCATGGTTTAAAACACTGATAAATATGCAGGTCGTTCTTGAGAAGGAAAGGGACAGAATGAATATACTTTGTTGGGATTATTTTGCTAGGAACTTTTTAACTTATCTTTAGATGCCCGTGTCCTGAGGGTGAGGCTCCCCCAACTATGACTTCTAGGTAAGTAAGAACACTATTCTTTCATTAAGGTTTTAGAAATCTATTCTACCTTTACTTCCAAGGTAGCACCAAATGCCATTCGGAAATTGCCATTAAAATCTTTACTAAAAATTCTTTGGAATGTCTGCTTGAAGAGAGAAGTGTTGAAAGAATCTCCCATCACCATGTGGCCTCTAGGAAAGAAAAAAGGAAAAAGAAAGTGAACCTTTAGGATGACTCAAAGCCATTCAGATGCTTCCTGGGTATTTATGAACAATTATTTTAGAGAAGAAGAAAAAAGCAAGCATGTCCACAGAGGTGCTACTGATCACTTACTGATAATGGAAAACAGCCAGTTCAATTTGTACTCAAGAAAGACACTATTTTTAAAACATTAAACATAGAATTCTTTAGAACAGTGCTGTATCTTGATCACTGTGGTGGTTATACAAACCTATAGAGAGGATAACAATTTCAAAGAACTAGACATGCACACAGATTTTTAAAAATGAGTGCATGTACAGACTGGTGAGAGCCAAGTACGGTCCATGATGTATCAATAGTTAACTGTGCTGTACCAACTCAGTTTCCTGGTTCTGACATGGTGCTGTATTTATGTAAGATGCTACCACTGGGAGATGCTAGATAAAAAGTATGGACAGACTTCACTGTACTATTTTTGCAATTTCTTGTGAATCTGTTAACTGTTTCAAAAATTAAAAGTTTAAAAAAATAAATGATGATATAATCTGGATAAGGTGTGACTAGTCCCAAGGAAACCAAGACTGTGATCTTCCTTGAAGATAATGGACCCCATAACACAGCCCAGGGTCACCTCGCCTTTGCTGGAAGTCATCCCCAATGGTTGGCTCACTTCAAGCCATCAACTGAAACCTCTAAGTCTTTTTTTTTTTTCAGTGTCACTGTTCACACATTTCCCCGATACTATAGTTGTGCAACAGGTGATGTGCCCTAAATACTGTCACTCAGGGGTCAAAGGCCTCACTGAAAGTGTGAGGGAAGTGCTGGTCCCTCTCCACAGAGGAGAGACACATACACGTGAATTCTGGTGTATAAGCTCGGGGGTGTTCACAAACACATGGAAGTTTTCCTGTGATGTTTCACGACAAGAACTCCCGCAGGGCACTGGGGGGAGTCCAGCGTATTAAGTGAACTCAGCGGCACAGCCAGGCCAGCATCACTGGTCCTCTATCACCTCATGCGCCTGCTGGTCCCCAGGACAGCTGCAGATGTCGAGGGTTCTACCCCGTCCCCTTTACTCAGTGAGGACCCGCAGCACCACCTGGGAGCTCCTTATAAATGCAGAACACCAGGCCCACCCACAGCTCTCTGCCACTGCTTTTCCAGCTGCGTGTGAACAAGACCCCAGGGGACTTGCACACAAATGCAGGTTCTCCAGACGCTGTCTGTGTTCAGGCATGCCTGGAGCACACACGGGCCGCACCAGTGGTTCTCAAACTCTGCTCCACGTCAGAAATGCTCGGGAACTTTAAATATGCTGATGCCCAGGCCAGGCACCATGCTAATTAAATCCGACTTTAGGAACAAGACCCAGACCAAAAGTAGTTTTGAATGTTCCCGGGTGATTCTGATGTTGCAGCACCTTCAGACTAGTGGTGCCACAGGTGGTTCTCACCAGAATCCCCGGAGAGCTTGTTAAAACCCACCACCAGGCTGCATCCTCAGCCTCTGATTCAGGAGGTCTGGGGTGAGGCTCGAGTGTGCCCATGGGCCCCAAAGGCAGCTGGCTGGGCACCATCCCGCTTTGAAGACTTGGGCTCCCAGCCCGCCCTGCACCGCACCCTCCAGGCTGAGCGAGTGCCGGCTGTCATGAGGTGCGGTTACTAAGCCAGGTGAGGGGGCTCCTAATTGCTCTAGCATTCAGCCTATTTCCCCCCTTCTCACAAGGAAGTGCTGAAGGCCACATACTCCATGCTTGCTTTCCTGCCTTGGTGTCTGCAACAATTCTAAGAAGTTAAGTTACTCTGACACGACAAGTTCACAGTGAACCCTGACCTCCTTCTGATCACAGCTTCTTCCTCCAAGAGGCCCACAAACCCTCCCCAGGCACCGAAACCGCAGCCCAGAGCCACCTGAACGCTCATCTGAGCCAGCCTTGGCCATTCCCACGGTTCCATCACTCAAGTCTCATTCCTTAGAATAAGTACTCTCACTTTTCCCAGGGGTTCACTGTCCACATACCCAGTAAGGTTTGTGCAGCACTTCATCTCTAGAAGTCCAGTCTGATCAAGGGCACAAGCGTAAATATCAATGCAGTGACCGTTTGCAGCAGCTCGGTTAGCAAGCATCTCATAGTGCTGCAAAGAGAGAAAAATTATCTTTATGGAACAGCAACATCACTCACTAGGCGTGCCTTACCGCACCAAAGGGATGTGATCAAACAGAGGAATATGGAGACAGTTTCTCTCATAACATCCAAATAAAATAAAACTGCAGTTCTCAGTCTCAAAACACTTTTAGCAGTTTTAGGGCCACCCACTCTAACCAAGGTCTCAGAACTGGGACAGATACTTAACATCAGCCGAGATCTGGAAGGTCATCTCAGCAAGAGGTACTCACTGACCACAAAGCATGGCCTCAGCAGAGCAGCTGTCACTCCAGGGCAGCCCAAACCCCACCTGGGTGACCACACTTACAGCCTTGAGCCAGGAGCACCTACCTTGGTTGCCTTTTTCATGAAGCGGGCGTTATCTTTCTCAATATCGTGCCAGGAACGAATAGGAACCTTTAGTTCATCTCCAACCACCATGCCAGGTCCTTGGGTAGGGGGACCCCCAATAAACAGCATAATCCTGGCTCCCGTGTTTGGAAAAGTGCCCTAAAGCAGTAAGTGGCAGCATTTTAGGAACATACAGCCCACCCCAAGCATGTTTCCCACAGAAATGCTCCAGATGTGAGTTGTCCTCAGCTGTCGTGACTCCTGATGATACTGCAGCAAAATGCAGATGACGCTGCCGAGAAGCAGCTTCTCTCTTCCAACCTGAGGGTCTGGCGCACTTTTATTTCCTGTGATCCTGGTGCCCTAATGGCCTTGTGAAATCTCATGAAAACTTTTTGTATTTTCAAAACACCAAGGGCTCCTTCAGTGTGGATAATAAAAATCACTGAACCACCTTCTGATAAATTAACACTGCCAGCTGACTGCGGTCACAGCTGATTTTTCAGACAAGGCCAACAAACACACCTTCTGTGAGAAAGCTTGCGTGGTCCGATAGGTCCCAGTAAATTCTGAGTTACCTCCAACAAGCCAACAGCAATGGACAAAGCAACACCAGTGGATCGCAACGGTCTCTTCCCCTGAGGTACGGGCCATGGGTCCCTCTGCAGCTCCCCAAGAAGATCAGTGAGGTTCATGTCGATCTTGTGAATGGGCTGCAGAAATCTGCATGATATTGAATGGACACGTCAAGCCTGATTTAATAAAGTACTCTGGTCTTCAGCCTGCATGACACATAGTTACTGCTCTTCAAAATAAGTATCAGAGTACAAAAAACTTGCAGTGTTTTTTTTTTCCTTCAAAGTTGTCTCTAACTACAGGGCTTCCCTGGTGGCGCAGTGGTTAAGAGTCCGCCTGCCGATGCAGGGGACACGGGTTCATGCCCCGGTCGGGGAGGACCCCACATGCCGCGGAGCAGCTGGGCCCGTGAGCCATGGCTGCTGAGCCTGCGCGTCCGGAGCCTGTGCTCCGCAACGGGAGAGGCCACAACAGTAAGAGGCCCACGTACAGCAAAAAAAAAAAAAAAAAAAAAAGTCTCTAACTACAAACACAAAAAACTCAAAGCAATTTTATTCAGGAATGTCATTTAAAGCCTAGTATATAGCAATCTGCATATGTAGCATGGAAAAAAAAATCAATTTCAAATAGGAGCAAATCAGTTTAATTACATTTTAAGCAGCAAAAAAACCCTAAAGACATGCTAACATGAACTCAGTCCATGTAAGGTTCATGGACGTGGACAATCTTCATCGTTCTGAAGACTCCATTTGCGTTTCTCTTGAACCTTGGGAGTCATACAGGGAGGAACACCAGTTTCTTAGAGAAGAGGCTGTGCCAGGCATGTCAGCAAAGCATCTTATCATGTTTGCCAACTGTTAACACAGCCTTGGGCAGCCCTAGGAGCACAGCGGGCCAATCTCAGGCTTGTTAGAGGACACCCAACAGAAGCCTTTTCGGTTTCCCCAGCTTTACTTAAGAATCAAAAAGGACAAGAGCCATGTATCTAATAAGAGGGGAATGACTGCGTACAGTGGTCTCAAAATCTCTGTGATGATACAAGTCTAACCAGGAAAAATATTTTGAGCAAATCTGCCCCACGTGTATGTGTGTGTGTATATATATATTTATATATTAACTTAGTTATAAATTTTAAATGTACACTGACTTGTCATGTTATTAAACATTAAATATTGGTTAGGCTGAGTCTTTTTTTCCCCTCTAAAAATAAAAAACAAAAGCCCTCCTGCTGTCCCTCCCTCCCGCCCACAGCCGCCGCTGTGCATGTGCACGTCCAAGCTCACCTGCTGGAAATGGAAGGGTGCTCCTGTGGCTGTGCCGGGCGCGCTGGGTGCACGGGCACGGCAGGCTTGGTCAGGCCCAGCATGTCCTACACAAACCAGAAAGACTCATTTCCCTTAACACTACAAGTGAATGGCATTTTTTTCCCTTTTTCCTAATGAATTTTTAAGAAACATCCCTGGTCCTGCTTGGGGACAAGCAAGGCACTAACCTGTATCTGCTTTGCAGTTAAATCCTTCGTACCCCGGAAGACATAACTCTTGGAAATCCCCTCACAGCTGAGTTCATGGACCTGCACCATCCTCCCAAACGTGATCAAGCCCACCAGCGCATCTGGAGGAAGGAGACTCAGGGACATCTGCAGGGATTCCTTGAGTGCCTGGAGGTCGTCTTCTTCCAGGCATGTGTCCACCACGTAGAGAAAGATCAGAGGGGACTGAGCACCTCGCTTTATGCAAAGAAAAACAGCACAATGATCAGTATACAAGTAGACACAACCAGCTCTTTTTAAAGCAAAACAAGGAAGTTCCCTGGCGATCCACCGGTTAGGACTCCACGCTTTCACTGTCGGGGCCCAGGTTCAATCCCTGGTCGGAGATCTAAGATCCTCCAAGCCACATGGCTCAGCCAAAAAAAAAAGCAAAACAAGTTATGTAAGTAACAAGTCTTTATTTATACTGACTGTCAGTGATAAGAACATCGAAACAAACCTCTACTTACTTTATTAAATGACAAGTTTTATCAAAACGAACTAGACGTAAAGACTACTTTATATCCAACAATTTATTCCACATTTTTGAACGCCAGGCATTGTTCCAGGTCCTGCGATAGATACATCAGCGAACCAAAAGGCCAGAGATCCCTGCCTGCCTCAGGAGCTAGCTTTCCAGAACAGAGAAAGGGGGAGGGATTATGAAGGCCGGGCATGGGGGGGTGGGGGGCAGGAAGGCTCCACCATTAAATGGGAGGTCAGGGCAGCCTTATTAAGAAAGTAACATTTGAGCAAAAACCTGGAGGAGAGGGAGGGAGCAATACAGATACAGGAGAGAAAGCTCTAGCCTGAGGAAAAGCCAGAGCAAAGGCCCAGGGGCACGTCTGTTCCCAGCACGCTTGAGCAAAGTCAAGGAGGCCCATTTGGCTGAACGAGGACCCTAAAAGAAGCTGAGGTCAGAGGGGTAACACGGCCAGCTCACACAAAACTCTGAAGACTATTACTCCAGGTGAAAAGGGAGCCATTTTCGCCACTGGAGGTTTCTGAACACAGACCTAATGTGATGTTTTTAAAGGGTTACCCTGGCTGCTGGGTGAAGAATAAAATATAAGTGGGCAAGGGTAAAGTCAGGGCGAAGAGCTAGGAGACTGCCCCAATAATTCAAGTGAGAGGCGGGGGCTGGCCCAGGACAGGAGCTGTGGGGAGAAAGAAGTGGCCGGATTCTGGATCAACTGTAAATATCGACTGCAAGGGATTTCCTAACAGATTAGATATGGGATGTGAGAAAAAGAGAGACATCAAGGATGAATCTAAGATTTCTAAGCTGAACAACTAGAAGATGGGGTACCATCAACTGAGACGGACAAGGCTGTGGAGGGCGGGTTTTGAACTGAATCAGTGCTACCTTTTTGGTAGCCTTCTATGGAGACGGGAAAATGATGCCATCACGTGCACACGTACCATGACCTAATGTTCAGGATCCTGTGGGCCTCACAGCTTTTTAAATCGTCCAGACAGGCAAGAGACACAGAAGACAAAGTATTTCAAAAGAAGCTCAATTTAACACTGCTCCTTAAATGCGCAGCAAACAATTACCTGTATCACGTACTCAACTGTAGAAAACTGGGGCATCAATTCAGCAGGCTGATTCACCTCAGATATGCCTGCGTAAGCCGGAGGAAACTGGAGAGAAGAAAACAAAGCAATGCTTCATGAGGGCTGAAAGATACATTATGCCTTTTATTTTCCATTTATAAAATAATGACCACATATTAATTCTGAAAGCACAAAATGTAGAACATGTTACTAAAATACAAAAATCAGAATTTAAGAGACTTCCCTGGTGGTCCAGTGGGTAAGACTGTGTGCTCCCAATGCAGGGGGCCCAGGTTCAATCCCTGATCGGGGAACAAGATTCTGCACGCGTGCCGCAACTAAAAGTTCTCATGCCGCAACTAAAGATCCTGCATTCTGCAACTAAGACCTGGGGCATCAATCAATCAATCAATCAATCATTTTTTAATCAGAATTTAAAATCTATAACCCTGTTCTATATCTATATCACACTGGAACTTTTTCTTAATGCAGTTTTAGGTTATCGTGTAACTTCTAAATCATTAAAACACACACTATTAAAAACCATTTCCAAATTGTTGCCCTGTAAATTAAGGGCTGAAATTTTAGCTGTCTCATCGATAATCTACATGGAAGACTAAAGCTTTTATTTGGGTTTACTACTCTAGCTGTTATCAATAAAGTAATACATGTTAATTGTAGAAAAACTGGCAAGTACAAGAAAAATATAAGATAAAAGATACAAACCCCCCGTGCTCCTATCACCCGGAGGCAGCTACTGTCAACATCTCGGTGTATTTCCTTCCACACTTTTTCTACCTTAAGCACAGCTGAGGTCACCTTATACACACAATTTTGCAACCTGCTTTTTGGTGCTTAACATAATGTCATAGGTGTTTTGTTTTTTCTCTACAAACATTTTAAATTTGTAGCTTGTACATTGATTTTTTTCCCCAAACTTTAAAAATCGTGGTAAATTTTACCATCTTAAGCTTTTTTCAGTGCACAGTTCAGGGGTCTTAAATACATTCATAATGCTGTGCACCCATTTCCACCATCCATCTCCAGAACTTTTTTCATCTTGCAAAACTGAAACTCTGAACCTGTTAAACAGTAACTCCCCATCACCCCCACCCAGCCCCTGGCAACCACCTCTCTACCTCCTCTTTCTATGAATTTGACCGCTCCAAGTACCTCATGCAAGGGGGATCATACAGTATTTGTCTTTTGTGACTGGCTTATTTCACTCAGTAATATCATTAAGGTTCGATCACGTAGCATAAGTCAGAACACCTTGCATTTTAAGGCTATTAATATTGCATTGAACATACAGACCACATTTGCTTATCCATTCACCCGTCAGCAGACACTCGGATCAGTTGCTATGTTTTAGCTATTGTGAATAATACTGCTATGAACATGAGTGTGTAAGTATCTCTTCAAGACCCTGCTTTCAGTTCTTTTGGGTATATATCCAGAAGTGGGAATGCTGGACTATTTGGTTAACATCACTAATGAATAATACTGCTAGGAACATGAGTGTTTAAGTATCTCTTCAAGACCCCACTTTCAGTTCTTTTGGGTATATATCCAGAAGTGGGAATGCTGGACCATTTGGTAAACATCACTAATAATTAGTGACGATGAGTATCTTTTTATGTGCTTAGTGGCCATCTGTCTATCATCTCTGGAGAAATATCTATTCAAGTCCTTTGTCCATTTCTGAGTTGGGCTTTCCTGTTGCTGTTGAGTATTAGGAGTTCTCTATATATTCTGAATATTAATCCCTTATTAGACACATGATTTGCAAATATTTACACCCATCCTATGGGTTGGACTTTGTTGACATCTTTAGATGCCTTATAATTTTAACAATAAATTACATTAAACAGACATCAATTCTGAATATAATAGGGTGTAGGAATGTTTTTAAGATCTGCAAATACTCTGAATCACCCAGGGAGACAAATCTCGTACGGTATCTGCTTCTAATCCCCAAGACTATACTTAAAAGTCATCAACTGCACACTGGTCCCTTCACCACTGGACTCAGTGCATGCTATCTGAGAATGAGACTGTTACTCAATTACGATCAAATATAAGAATAAACAAGTGGATGTTATTAATATCTTAAGATCTGCTAGAGCACTACATATTATGTTGGGCATAATTATTTTCTAACAGCTTTACTGAGGTATAGTTTATATACCATAAAATTCACCCATTTTAAATGTACAATTCAACGATTTTTAGTAAATGCACAGAATTGTGCAATAATCACCATAATCCACTTTCTGAACATTTCCTCCACAGGCACAGTTCATTTCAAAGAAAAGTCTCTCTCATCATTTGTGAGCTCCTAGTTTAGTAGTTAAAAATGTTTAAATCAAAACAAGATCAACTTGACTCTAAAAGTTACAAAGATCGAAAATGAAAATCCAGTAATGTACACTATCCAATTAGAATTAACTGAAATCAAATGTAATATAAACACCTTATCTGTTTTCTAGGGTAACATACTCAGTACTTACAGAAAACCTATTTTAAAAAAAAAAGGAAATCTATGTCCCCTCCACAGCAAAGACAAAGACTCATATAATGAAACTGAATGACCATTCAAAACGAAAATCACATATGTTCAACATTCAATATTAGGCTTAAGAAATATAACCTTAACAGGTGCCCTGTGCCAGGGCAGACACAAATTCAACCTCACTTAATTTTTTTCAGAGTAGGACAACTAAATTGAAACACAGGAAATACTTGTAAAATAATTACAGTTCACATACCTGATTTCTTTGGAAACAGAAATTACAAGCCCAAAGCTTTGCTCGATAATCAACCTGACTGTGAGAAAAATAAATATTACAACCAGATACCGTTTTCATTTTTCCGGTAGAAAGCATTTAAGTGTGAACTTCTTGTTCAGTAAATCGCACGGATGTGTGTTCACGTATGGGTGCCTCAGTGGAGGAAGGTATGCAACACATTCTCTGCACCTAGAGCTCTGGCTGCTAAGTGCACCGAAAGGCTCCTTCAAGCAGCAACAATGAACAACGACTAAATCCTTTTTGCTCTTTTCCGATTTCCTAGATAATATTTAGAAATCCATGAGTTATAAAAATTATAGGTTATTTCCTTTTGCCCTGTTATCTAAACATACTCTTTATGATTTTTCTAATGTCTTTATTGTTCAAATATATGAAACTATGAAATTTTAATACTAAAAGGACATTTAACACACAGGAAAAACAACTCAGACTTTAACCACACTTAGTTCACTTGAAGAAGTTGAGCAGAATGCTTCTGGGTTGATACACTTCCTAGAACTGGTTCAAGATAATGCTTTATAGTTGCTTTCCCCCTCTTTCTACATTTAGAAAATTAACGATCAGCTATTATTTTAAAAGAGCAGCAGCATCTTATACGTGGGTACACCAAGTAAGAGCAAGGAGAATGAAGTAAAAAATGCTCCCTCATATAAAAATTTTATCTTTTAAAGAGTATTTATGACACTCTTCACTTGCTTAAAAATTCTTTCAAAGAGTGCCCACATTTAAGAGAGCTATCAAAGGTCACCATTTCAGGTACAAAAAAGTTACACTTAGGGCTTCCCTGGTGGCGCAGTGGTTCAGAGTCCGCCTGCCGATGCAGGGGACATGGGTTCGTACCCCGATCCGGGAGGATCCCACATGCCACGGAGCGGCTGGGCCCGTGAGCCATGGCCGCTGAGCCTGCGCGTCCGGAGCCTGTGCTCCGCAGCAGGAGAGGCCACAACAGTGAGAGGCCTGCATACCGCAAAAAATTAAAAAGTTCCACTTAACAATAAAATCATCAAGAGTTCAAATTTCTTCTGCCTATTACCTCTTCCTGCCATACAGCATCACCATACCAGGTAGGTACAACAAAACTCTCTAAAGCTTTTGGATATTTTTTGGAAAATGCTTTGAAAGGCACCAATAAAATCAATAGTTACGGCAAAAGCAAACTGAAAATCAGAAAAACAAAAAATTACAAATCCTTTCCCTCTACCTCCACCTCATGCCCATAAATTCTAATTCCATGTGGAATATCAGGCCAGGGAGACTTCCACAAACATTCATCACCTAAGACTCTCACCATTTACTACTCATCTCAAATTTGACATCTTGCCCAACTGAGTCACTTTTAGGAGAATCATGGGAAAGTCATAATTTACTGTATTCATCATTTTTGCTAGTTGTTAAAAGAATTCATACCAAAGTGGATTGAGAATGGCTCTGCAAGTTGGCCTGCTGCAAAGCACTGGTTCATACTGTACAGGGGGCAGGTCTGGACGTTCTTTCAAAGGAGTAAGGATACAAGCCAGGGGAACAACCATTCTTGTAGCCTCGAGACGGCTGGAAGGCCACACATTCCAACTAAAACGCACGCCATCGCGTTCTTCATTCTGCTGAATGAATTCCAGGTATGTTGCCATTGTCTAAAAAAAAAAAACACTAAAGATAAAGTTTAATCGTATGTGAAATTCTCAACTGAACTTCAAAAAAAGATGACCACCTAACGCCACGTTTCTTAAACACTTAGTCTGGAAGAACCTGTCACTGGAGGATGACAACATCTCACTTCTCTCTGACCCCCCAAGAGCCAATTAACTTCACAGCTACCTCTCCCATTCCTTTCTCAACCCTCCTTTCTAGCCCTTAAAAAAATAAAAGGGGCAGAAGGTTTACAATCATTTGGTCATCCCTAAGCTGCATGTAGGTGAATAATAGTAATTTAAATCTCCTCTTAGATCACAGATCATCTCAGCCAAGCCAATTTCAGCCCCGTGCTCAAGGGTTAAGTCTCAAACCCTGTTTCAGCATCCAGTTACCTTCCTCCCTGACCCCCTTTCCTCCTTGCTCTATTCGAGTAAATACTGTATTATAATTTACATTCCAAGTGATCTTGGTTTTGTGCCCTTTCCCTCCTTCCGTTATTATGGAGAAAAGAACTGGATACTGAAGTGCGAATCCTATTCACAAGAACAGCTACCAGTTCTTAGCCAAGGTACTTCTACTTGGGATCACCAAAATTACAAAGGCACACTTGCTATTATGCTAAGTGAGTTCCTCACCAGCTCCTGTCCCCTCACCACAGTCGCTTGTGCTCATGCCTTGGAAGATTCCAGTTAATGAAACAGCCATTCAGACTAAGTATGTTTTTCAAACCCAAATAATGCCAACTTCATCCTGTTTACATACTAAATTCTAGGCTAACACACACTTCAGCTATTAGGGTTCAAGGGAACAAAACTCTCGAGAACAATGGGAAAAATGGCAAATTAAAGAATCTATTATAGGGCTTCCCCGGTGGCTCAGTGGTTAAGAATCTGCCTGCCAATGCAGGGGACACGGGTTCGAGCTCTGGTCCGGGAAGATCCCACATGCCGCAGAGCAACTAAGCCCGTGAGCCACAACTACTGAGCCCGCGTGCCACAACTGCTGAAGCTCACGTACCTAGAGCCCGTGCTCCGCAACAAGAGAAGCCAAAGCAACAAGAAGCTCACGCACAGCGACGAAGAGTAGCCCACGCTCACCGCAACTAGAGAAAGCCGGTGTGCAGCAACAAAGACCCAACGCAGCCAAGAAGAAATAATTTTTTTTAAAAAAGACTCTATTATATAAGTGGCCTCTAGTGCTCACTTATGCAATGCTGAATAATGACTGTCTCCAAGCTATTTTGAGAAGTGCCATACTGTTAATTTGGACTAAGGGAACAACATAGGGCTATAAATGCAAATGAATTACACACAACGCGGAGCACAAAAATTCCAATGTTTGTTCCAACTGAAACTCTAAGGCATCTATTTGTTATCTCTGGCCAAAGCAGGAAACTGTAGTTCTGTGTATACAGAAAACACTTCTGCAGCTTCCTGGCTAGTAAAGGGTAATTCAGGTGGGAATGAAAGCAAGTTCTAACATCCCAATTCTCAGCAAGCACCTTGCCAGACTTCATTAAGTGGCTGTTTTCCTTCTCAAAACAGATCATTATTAAAAGGCACTATCTCCATCCCATGTCCCCAGGCATCCACATATTAAAACCTGCGCTCTCCATTTCCCACTGCCTCTTCCGCTCACTCCCTGCCTCAAGAGCATGGATTCTTAACTCTGGGCACATAGCCAACAGGGGACTTCACAGGGTCAATAAGTCCTCTGAAACTGTATGCAAAATTGTGTGCATGAGCCAAGGTGCACTTTTCTAGAGAGACAGGTCTACCACTAACACCATATTTTCAAAAGGGAAAGCTTTCAGAATAGGTTAACAGCTGAATGAATGAATAAGTAAAACTGTAAAGATCCTGTAGACGTATCTGTCAAAAAAAAAAATCTGTACCATTCATTCCACCTTAAGGTATGATTTTTCAGGACACAACTAAGGTAAAGCAAGGTTTAATCCTTAAAGGGAGTCCGAAGACCTGGGTTCTAGCTCCGGCTCTGCCACGAAGCATGTCATTTAACCAGAATCTCGAGTTCCTCAACTGTAAACTGGAAGTTGAGTCCTTCTGTCTCCCACGACTCCGAGGGATCCTGCGCCAGAATCCGGCCAGCCGGCCGCCCCACCGGGCTGGGACCACGTCACTCTCAGCAGACCCCTGGGTCTTCGGGCCCTTCAGCTCCTCTGACCGCCGGGAAAAGGCCTCGCCCCAGGAGCAACCCACCTGCCCCTAGCAGAGACTCCGGTCCCTGCCCTCGGCCTCTCATAACCTGTGCTCCCCACTCACCTGGCCGGAGCCGCTCACCTGGCCGCAGCCGTACGCACCCACCGCTGCAAGAGCCGGGCTCCAGTTCCCACCGCCAAGTCCAGCTCAGCCCTAAGCCGATTGGTTAGCGTTCTGTGCGTCACGCCACGGCGCCGTCCGCTGGCCAATCAAAGAGCGCCTCCCCGGCGGGCGAGCGGAAGCAAGACACTTAGAAAGGCTGCGCCGCCATGTTGGAACAGGGCAAGACAGACGTGGTTGGCTCTTCAAAATCACAATACTCAGAATACACGTTTCTCCACGTTCACCTCTAAACCTTTCTGCTTCACGAAATACCGGCGCCTAGGGAACTGTTTCCTAGGCGCAGCCAGCGCGCCTCAGGGGCTCGCCCTACTCCAATAAGACGTCCGCTCACTTCAGTGGGAAGTCCCTCTCATCGCCTTAGTTACCGGGAAGCGAGAACGTTGACGTGTGGTCCCGGAAGAGGGCGAGGCTCCTCGCGGAGGAAACCGAAGCTGGCCGGAAGGAGGTGTCGGCGCGCAGAAAGGGGCGAGGCTAAGGGAGCGTGAGCCTTGAGCGTGGGGACGCATGCGCGCAGGAGTACCGTCAGTTAAACAGGTGTAGTTATTCTTCCTCACCTTGCAGGGTTTCCTTCCCTCGTTCGCCTCTCGTTCGCGCACAGGTGCCTTCCGGCTCTCTGCGGAGCCTGGCGTTAGCGGACAGGCTAATCCCTCTCGATCCCTGTCATTCTTCCATGAGAAAGTGAATAATTGGGAACTGTCGTAGTCAAACGTTTTAAGAGACTAACAAAACACCAAACTGCATAGAGCACGGCTTTTTACAGCCACCATGGCCGTTTTACCACTTCTTATAAGTGGCAAAACCGAGCACGTTTATTAATCTGACCCAGCGATATGGCCCGTCTGTAGCATATAAAAATAAGCAAAATTATATAAACTTAAAAGTATGCTTAAAGCATATCAAGGCGCCCAAGAATTAATTAGCTCAATTTAATATTAGTACAAAGTTTTAAGTGACTAACAAATCATAGAAGTTAGTTTTAGGTCGATGTGCTACGAAATTAATTGCTGTTAATATAAAAATTTGTCGAATAATGGTTCAGTTTTATTGAACAAGTTTACACTTTTCGTGTATCTAAAGGATTATGTAAGAGTAATAGTGGGTTTTTTAATACTTAAACTGGTATAAGTTCAGGAAGTTCAAATCAATTATTCTCTCAGTAAAGATACACACTCAATTAAGATACAATACACATTTGTATCATACTTCACGGTGAGAAAATGTTACCAAGTACAAGCTGGTGCTGCTTGCCGCACAACAGGCCAATTGAGAGATGAGTTGGGGCAAGGACTAGAGACTTTATTCGGAAGGTCGCAGACCCAGGAGTCTGGTTCTCACCTCGGGTGGCCTCGGCCTGCAGCGGCTTGAGGCAGGAGTTTTTCGGTTCCCAGCCAGAGATTGAGGTATGGCCGCGGCAATAAGAGCGCTGAATCCCAGCCACCAGACCACCAGGGACCAGTGGCCAGTGACAAGGCCACGGCCCGTCAGCTGTGTAGAAATGAACTTCTACATAGAGACGGAAAGTAGTGAAGCAAGTAGAGTGTTTATTAAGAGGGAAAAGGGTGCAGTACGTGTGAACAGCCACACGGGCGGGCTCAGAGAGAGAGTCACGCCCTCGTGGCAGTCTGAATCACTTTTATGGGGCATTTCTTCATGGTTTCCTCTAACCAATCATCTTGTTTCTCCTGGTTCTGAGTCCGAATTTGGTATATCTCAGGGTTCTCCCCTGTGTGGGTGCGCATTTCTTAGCCAAGATGGATAGTAGTGAAGAGGCCTATGGGTAGTTGACGTCACATACTAGGAGGTGGCACCCCCTCCCTTTTTGACCTCCAAGGAGCCTTTCTGCACATGTGCAGTCGGGGAGGTCTCCTTGACTTTGAGAATGAGGAATATGTGGTCTTTTATCTCTTATCTGGGCAGGGCCCAGCCTCCTCGATCATCCTGCTTTTATGGAGTTTCTGCTATTATGGAGTTTCTGTCCGCAGGGGAGAAACTGTTCAGCCTGGGGCCCATCTACCTCCTGCCTCAGTTCCAGCCAGACTCAGGAGGGGATGTGTTAATTCTTTTTTCCTGCAGCCATTCACAGGGGGGCCTGGTCAGGATGTTTCCTGTGAGCTAAACAAAGGTATTTTAGCTTAACACTCAGGCGTGGGAGGCAGATTAACTTGAAGCAAAAGCAATAGAACACAAAGGTTAAAGTAAAAGAAACAGATCCAATGTGGAGTCAGATTTATTCTTCTCTTTTACAGAAAGACATAGCTGGGTTTTTTTTTTAACCAAACATTAAGAAAATATCATTTGCCAAAAATTTGCTTGACTTATTTGAACCTGGATTCCTAGTACTAGAAATTTCTGTAAGGATTTTAAAAAATCTACCACATTAATGTATTAGAAGTTTAATTTACTTATTTTAGGAATAGTGGATTTATGTGACTGTGTAGTTATCCTGATAGGCATTGGGAAGGAAGAAAATTTCCTCCTTCCTTCTAGGTTCTTCTGGCTGGCCTAAGAATTAGATCGACATGAGGCAGATTAACAGGAGAAAATGAAATAGAAATTTAGTAACATGTATACATGGGAGAGACCTAGGGAAAATGAGTAACTTGCTAAAATGTTTCCAGTCCTCACCTTAAAAACCATCCTCAGCTAAAGACAAAAGAGGATATTGAGGGTGGCGAGTCAGTTATGGGAAGTCACCAGGAAAAGCGCAGTAAACAAGGGTAAGGTTGTTGAGCAGATTTAAGTCACTGCCTTCTCCACTGGTAACTTTATAGAGATGTGGCCATCCTCTTTCTAGTACAGAGAGGGAGACAACCTACAAATGGAGATTTCCCTTACAAATGTAAATGTGTCTTACAAAAGGATAATTCCTACTTGGCTAAGAGTTTTTTCCACATCTGCTGTTTCTTAGAAAATAACCAGCTTAAAATAATTAATATGGCAAGAGGCAGTGAGAACAAAGCTTCTTTAAAAGATGTAATAATCGAATTTGTTAGAACTCTAATGTTAGTAAACCACTTCATACTCTTACAAGAGGTGAAGACCTTTGCGATTACAGCCATGAAGGCATACAGATGCACAAACACATAGACTGTAAAACAAAGAATGTTATCTGCCATCCAGTTCTATAAGGATCAAGTCATGAGCCACTGCAGCCGCTGACCTACAACACACGCTGAAAGGAATTCAGTACAAAAACCAGGATGAACCATTCAGTGTTTTGGATATACAGACCCCTAGATATGCTAGTGAACACAAGTTCATGTGCCTGACGCAGAGCAAGGCCAAACAATATTGAAACGTCAGAGTTTAGGGCAGAGAAAGGTTTATTGAAGGGCTGTGCAAGGTAATGGGTGGCTCATGCCCCCCAAAACCCGGAAGTGCCCCGAAGGGTTTCAGCAAAGCTTTTTTTTTTTTCTTTTTTTAAGAACTAGTGTTTGAGTCCTAATTTTCTTTTGGTTTTTTGTTTTGTTTTTTGCCATGCCGCGCTGGTATTGACTGTTATTGGCTGATATTGACTATTTTATTAAGAACTATTTTGAAATCAGGAGTCATCAACAAAGAAAACGGGTTGTGTTCTGCTTCTTTGAAACTAAAACATACTTTTCTATACAAATATCAGTTAGTCTAAGTAAGAGATAACACATTCTGGGCATGTCACAGTCTGTCCCAAATAAGGGGGGGGGGGAATGGAAGCGCCAGCAAGAGGCAAGTAAAAGGTGACTTACACAGCTACTGGAAACCCGCAAGGTTTGTCTGCGGCTGCCCTGTGCAGTAGGGAACCAGAAGCTCAGTGGGTGCGCTCTTGGCGCCCCGGAACTACAATTCCCGGAATGCCACGGGCAGGCTCCCCGGTCGCGCACGCGGTCTGAGCGCCTCAGGTCGGCTGCATTCATGGCGGCGCCCTGCAAGGCGGTGATCGTCCCCGGGAACGGGGGCGAGGATATGGCCACCCACGGCTGGTACAGCTGGGTGAAGAGGAAGCTGGAGCAGGTAGGAGACGCACCTCGCTGCACTGGGAGGTCGGGCTGGCGCGGGAGAGGCCGGAGGGCTCCCCGCTCCCACCCCCTTGTGCAGAGCCCTGCTGGGAACCCCGTCTTAGACTCTACAAGTAGTGGAGGAAGTTCGGCTGGTGAAACAGCCAGGAGGGCTACTCTCAGGACTCAGAGTACAAGCTCCACCTCTAGAAACTGGAGACCGAGCCCGCTCCCCGTATCTCCTGCGGGTTCAGATATGGGACTCCCAGATAATTCTACACCAGTCTTCTCTGCTCTCTGTCTCGGATTTTTTTTTTTTTTTTTTTTTTTTTCGGTACGCGGACCTCTCACTGTTGTGGCCTCTCCCGCTGCGGAGCACAGGCCCCGGACGCGCAGGCTCAGCGGCCATGGCTCACGGGCCCAGCCGCTCCGCGGCTTGTGGGATCTTCCCATACCGGGGCACGAACCCGTGTCCCCTGCATCGGCAGGCGGACTCTCAACCACTGCGCCACCAGGGAAGCACCTGTCTCGCATTTTTAAACATTTTAATATGTAATATTGATATTTACAAAGGATGTATGTAACACGTACATACATTATGAAGTATAATGTAACCAATACTTGAGGGTCCCTCACCAAACTGAAATCTAGGAACATTATCAATACCTTCAGAGACAGCTGTATGTCCCTCCATCCCGTTTCCCTGCCGTATGAAATTTTAAAAGTTTGTTTCGCTTTTAAAACTTAATTTAAAAAATTAATGTACTTTTCAACCTATGTATGTATCCTTTAAGCAATATGTTGTTAAATTTGGCCTCTTTGTGAGCTTTATAAAAATGGCATCTAACTGCGGGCTGTCTTGTGCATCTTGATTTTTTTTTTAAAACGTTCTTCCATAACTAGGCAATAAGACTGTTTCCTGAGTTGCCAACCTCTACAGCTCTAGAGTGGGTCTCTAGAATAAAATTCCAGGCTTGTGGCTGAGAGCCATGGCTAGAGCTACAAACCAAAAGGTCAGGGCTGCAGCTGTCCAAGAGGATTGGATCCCCAACTTTCTGTACCACGTTTATGTACCACATTTTACCTACTCCCTGGAGCATAGTCTGATTGGCTCCAGGTCAGTTTGTCTAGAATCTGTTATGCTCTCTCTATATGTGTATGCCAGCGGTGATAAATGTACATGTGCAGTTGCACATATGAAGAGATCTGCAGAGCTGGCTAGATAGAGAACTACAGACAGATGGAGTTTATGAGGAGGGATTGTATATTCATATGTAATCCTGTAGCACTTACCCCACTTCATTTCATGATATAAACAACTACTTATTGAATTGATAAAGCTCATATCAGGTGTCTCATTTCTTATTAGCAAAGTATTAGTTGTAATTAAGCTCTTTATTATACCTTTTTTCTCCCTCTCATATCGTAGATACCTGGTTTCCAGTGTTTGGCTAAAAACATGCCTGACCCAAGTAAGTTTTTTAAATGTGTCTTTAAAAAGCCTCCTCTTGTTGGGTTTTGATCTTGTCATTTTCCGGTAGAGAAGAGGAATATCCTAGCAGAGAAGCCTAAGGGAATACATACCTCAGAGTGAATGATGGCAAGTATTTGGGGGAGGAGGGTGCAAACCAAAAAACATGATAGAAAATTCTAGTAAGGATCAAGAAGAGCACCTGGGCTCGGAAGAATTTAATTTTCAACTTTGTAAGCAACGGATTTTCCCTTCTATAAGTCAAATCTTTTCAGGCAAAATTTATGGGTGGTTTCATTTGAGGCAGAGGTATGACAAAACTTACAGCATCTCTATGAGATCCTAATATTAGAAAATGTAACGTGGCCACTTCTGTTCTGAGTGCCTATGACTCGTCTCAGGAATTTCCTTTTTGGGAAGAAAGAATATATGTGGACATCAACTTGAGAGACAATATTGTCAAGAGGATTTTTGTTTTTAAGTTGGAAAGTTTACATTAAACTTCAGAGTTATATTTTATTTTCTTAGTATTTCCTTTCAAGAAAATGCTAAAAAATAAAAACAAAACTATTTACCAAAACTATAGATTTGAGTCTTTCAGACAGCAACACATAAAACTCTGGCCCTGGGCTTCCCTGGTGGCGCAGTGGTTGAGAGTCCGCCTGCCGATGCAGGGGACATGGGTTCGTGCCCCGGTCCGGGAAGATCCCACATGCCGCGGAGCGGCTGGGCCCGTGAGCCATGGCCGCTGAGCCTGCGCATCCAGAGCCTATGCTCCGCAATGGGAGAGGCCACAACAGTGAGAGGCTCGCTTACCGCAAAAAAGAACAAAAAAAAGAAAACAAACAAAAAAAACTTTGGCCCTATTAAAACAGCCCCATCCCCCATTGCGGTCCTGCGGTTTGCTGAATGGTCCTCTGTTAGAAAGGTGGGCAGCGCTGGACTGAGACTGTCCCTGTTGAGTGACGGACTCTTTCTTTCCCCTGAACCTTAGTCACAGCTCGAGAGAGCATCTGGCTGCCCTTCATGGAGACGGAGCTGCACTGTGACGAGGAGACCATCATCATAGGCCACAGTTCTGGGGCCATTGCAGCCATGAGGTGTGGTCCTTATTGAATTGTCACCATCCCCCCTACCCCTGTGGGCTCCAGTCAAGCTTGCTTGGGCAATACTTCGTGCACATCTTAAGTTTACATTGCAGAGGAGACAGTGAGTAGTAACGTGATCTGTCCTAATTCCTTCCTGGTTTGATTAGTGGATTAAAAAGATACTTTGCTCTTACTGGGATACAGTGACCCTTCTAAAACACAAGTGCCTCCGAACCCCAGCAGCTCCCGTCACCCTCAGAAGAACTTCTCGGCCTTCAAGCCCCCCGCCCCCGATGTCGTCTCTGCCATCTCCCCTTCGCTGCCCCCAGCCTGGTTTACAGACCTCAGTGCAGTTCCTTGAACACGCCGAGCTTGTGCCTTTCTTAGGCCTGTGCTTGCCGCTGTTCTACCTGGACCCTCTGTCCCCAGACACCTGCATGGCCTTCTCCTCTCTAGGTCTCTGCTCCATGTCCCCTTTCAGTGAGGCCTTCTGTAATCACTCCATGTGAAACAGCAGCCTCACACCACCGAATCCTACCCCCTTTATATCTTATGACCCCCCTTATTATCTGTAGCACTTTTCACCACCTGACATCCTATTCATTTCTTGTCTGTCTCCTGCCAGTCGAATGTAAGCTCCATGAGGGTGGGGCTTTGTTCACTCTGACACGAAGCCCCGGTGCCTGGCAGAGTGTCTGGCATATGGTAGGCGCTGATAACTCCCCGTTGGAGGGTGGAGGCTGTTACCCGCACCGCCCTCCACTCCCCCACTACCGCCCCGGCCAGCCCCAGCCCCCGCCCCCAGGGGTCATGGGTGCCTTCCTGCTGCTCCCCATTAGAACATCACCCTGCAGGCTTATAAGGCCTGGAATGTAAGGATGGAGCTGGCTGAATAGCCTGTTAGGGTTGGGTTTCCTCTGTATTTGTGAGGCTAGATGACAAAGGATTATGGGGTTTTTTTTGTTTTAATTAATTAATTTTTGGCTGCATTGGGTCTTTGTAGCGGTGCGTGGGCTTCTCATTGCAGTGGCTTCTCTTGTTGCAGAGCACGGGCTCTGGGCGCGCAGGCTTCAGTAGTTGTGGTGCGTGGTCTTCAGTAGTTGTGGCACTTGGGCTCAGTAGTTGTGGCACACAGGCTTAGTTGCTCTGGGGCATGTGGGATCTTCCCGGACCGGGGCTCGAACCTGTGTCCCCTGCATTGGCAAGCGGATTCTTAACCACTGTGCCACCAGGGAAGTCCCAGGATTATGGTTTTTGTGTGGCTTCTTGTCCCCAGCAGCCCCTCAGGATGTCACGTGAATCGATTGTCAGAGAAATCTTGCCAAGTTCCATAACCTTTCAGCCACACCTGTGGAGGCTACGAGAATAATGCTTTCCTATGTGGACCTACAGAATTGTGGTACATAGTGTTTATAAGCTGCCAGGGGTTGTCTGGAAAATGAAGAAAGCCCTTTATGCTGAAATGTGTGCTAACCCAAGGCCAACTGAATTTTTCTCAGGCCGCTGGCTAATAACGATGTGGCTTCTTTTAAAGACTGCTGAAATTTATTGTAGGATTGTCAGGAACTTTCTAAAAATTAACTTCTAAAGTTAAGGTAGGCAAGGAGAAAACCAGATGCTAAAGCCACGGGGCCTAAGATCATAGGGGAACAGGATACAGAGGACTACCCCACAGTTACTTATTAATCACAAGGGGGAATTGTGTCTTTACAGTGGAGGGATCTGAGGGGTATCACCCTAGGGAATCTGACAGTCTCAGCAGTAATGGGACAAACTGGCATCGTGTGCCCATCGTTGTGGAGGAGTGGGAAGGACACAACATTGCCTACGTAATGGTCTTGCCAAAAGTGTTTCACCTCAGCCTAATCATGAGGAAACTGAGGAAACAAGTTCAGTTTAGGGGATAACGTACAAGAAAATGGGCCTAAAATTCTTAAAAGTCGTCAATCTCATTTAAAACAAATTTAAAAGTGATTGAAGAGTCATGAAAGCAAACGTGTGATCTTTGACCAGATCTAGGATTGAAAAGATGTTTTAAAGAACAGTTTGGTACAACTAGGGAAAAATGAATACAGGTCTCGGTGCTAAACTTATTAGGTGTAAGAATGATACTGTCGTTACATAAGAGCACAGCTGTGTTCTTAGGGGATACGTGCTAAAGTATTTAGGGGTGAACTGTAGCAAAATTAACGAATCTGGGTGCTTGTTCTCACTTTTCGGTAAGTTTGACATTTTTCAAAGCAAAAGATTGGGGAAAAAGTTTAGGCACGAGAACAAAATACCAACCCTAAATCTTGCCTGGCACCAAGGCCTCCTAGAGCTCTTACCTTTCTAGGTCCTTCCTTAGCCCTGGCCTTTGCTCAGTGAGGGAACTGTCTACAGTTAGCTGAGTGTCTGTTTGCCGGGCACTGTTCTAGGGAACAGGGTCACAAAAATCGAGAAGGCTCAGACCTGCCCTTGAGGGATGCCTGTGGGGGACAGAGGTAAGACAACGCAAACAAGCGTGTGTGAGAGAGGCACAGTTCTGGGATGGTACAGTCCCAGACCACTTGCGTCTGTCACCTGGGTTGGGGAGGTGGCACGCCTTAGAATGCAGATTCCTTTGCCTCACTCACAATCCTCTGACTCAGATGCTCTGGGCTGAGCCTGGGAATCCACATGTTAACCAACCAAGTAATGCCGACGAATGCACACATCAAAGGGAATGATTACACTTTTTATGTTTATTCAGAAAGAATTAGGGAAGAGGTTTGCACTGCCTTGAAAACAGAGTAGAAACTCAGGTAGCCCAGGTGAGGTCATTAACCACCGGGCTCACATTTCTGCATTTTCCTTGCTCTTTTTCCTACTAACCTCAGCAGCCTATAGCATGTGCTTTCTGTAAGCTAAATCAAATGAGTTTTGGATGGCTTACTGACTTTCCGGGACCAGATTTAACATTAAACATCAGCTACACCCTTCCTCTCGCTCCAGGTACGCAGAGACCCACCGGGTGTGTGCTATCGTGTTAGTGTCTGCGTACACGTCTGACCTGGGGGATGACAACGAACGGGCAAGCGGTAAGTCTGAAGGCAGAAACCGGAAGAGCCCTTCCTGTAGCCACGGGGCTGCACGCTCAGGTAGTAAAACAGCACTGTCTTCCAACAGATTAACACAAAATCTAACAGCACATGAGGAATATTTACCACCCATCGTTAGGTATAAGTTAGGCACTTAGAGAGGGCAGTGAGCCACTATCTAACCCGTAGTCTAGAACTGAACCCCCGAGCCCTATCCTCCCCCTTCACCAGTAGCTATGGTATCAAGCCCTACGGATCTGAAAACTGAAGAAGGGCTTCTAACTCAACACTTGGGCTCTGATTCTCTGAGTCTCTGCCATGGTCCTCACGAGAGTGGTGAGAATGGAAAGTATCCATGACACTGAGAGGTTGTGTGTTCTTCTCATAGGATACTTCAGCCGCCCCTGGCAGTGGGAGAAGATCAAAGCCAACTGCCCTCGCATTGTGCAGTTTGGCTCCACCGATGATCCTTTCCTTCCTTGGAAGGAACAACAAGAAGTGGCCAACAGGTTGGAAGCCAAATTGTACAGATTCACTGACCGTGGCCACTTCCAGAACACAGAGTTTCATGAATTGGTTAGTGTGGTCAAGTCCATGCTGGAAGTGCCAGGATAGCCAGGGTCGTTCCTGCTGTTGTGCGTAAGGACATGGGAGTAGGGCAACGATCAGGTTATGAACAGATGACAATCATCCATTATCAGATGAATAGCAGGCATGCAAACCAGATCAAATTAAGGTCCAAAACACACACACGTTTCAATGTTCAAACTAAATTACAAACAGTATTTTCATTTTCCATAGAACCTACATCTCAAATTGCTCTGACCGAAAACAGTATTTTTCCCATTTGATAAGGGACATGGGACAGCTTAACCACCCTTACCTATCCAAAGTGAATAAGACACAAACGAAAACCAGGTTTCCTGATCCCTAGTCCAGATTAAAAATAAACAGGTTTCATGTTATGCTGTAGGAGTTGCATCATAACATGTCCTTAACATGTTGAGAGAGTGACACACAAGGAGGTTGAGGCAGGGGTCTGCAGGGTCAGGCAGGGATCGGTCTAAGACCAGACTGGCAAGGATTAGGGCGACAGGGAGAACTACTGCTGGGCCCTGTCTGGATTGTTGCCATGTGGGAATTTGGCAAGGCATTGCCAGTTTTCTGATTTTCAAGGAAAGAAATTAATACACTTTTGTATTTAGGGACCATAAGTGTATGTATATATAATCCACATGTACATGAATTCCATTCAGTCCACAGACATATGGGTTGTTAGTTGGCAACTACAGCGTAAATAAAAAATTTGCAAACACAGCAAGACACAAAGGCCAAGCCATCCATGTGTGACCTCTGCTGTAAGTATTCACTTAGCCAGTGCTTTAGAGCTTGAGAAAAGCCTGAGAAATAGACATGATGTCAAAGGATGAAGTCATGGGAACAGTTTGGATTTTGTTACAAAGTCTTAAATATTTTTAAAAATGATCTTTCCATATCTCAGATTTTGTTCTGTAAAGTGTTCTACCTTTTAATTTCCATGGTCCTTTCTATCTCTTTCAGCATCATTCCATGATTTTTCTTCTAATCATACTCCCTCAAAAATAACCCTTTTTCATTTTCCAATGTTTTTTGGCTATTATTATCCCTACGTAACATCTCAAAACAATTTCCAGTAAATTCACACCTGATACTTGCTGCAATAATGTGAATTCCCACACTGTTCATACCTAACGAAAATTCAAAGCCATCATTTGAACCTGAAAAGGCTTTTGATTTCTAGATGTGCTCAAAAAATGTCAGGAGAGATTCTCTAAATTTTTAGCAGCAGTTATCTTAGGGGATGGGAATTTTGGTAGTTATGGTGTGGTGGACGTCTCCTTTTTACATTATACACCTGGGGATTATTTGAGTTTGTGCACTGTCTTTTATAATTAAAAATAAAGATTAAAAAGTTTATTTGACAAGTTAGTGAAAAACAAAGTAGATAAGTCCATTGAATACTTTTCTTAGAGAAGCTGTTTAGCATTGATTTGACCAAGCCTATAATCAAAGCTTGATTCTATTTGAATTATTTGGAAGTAGTCATTGTTCTACGTATTCTCTGCCTTGTTTTCTGAAGTCCTTTCTTTAAAAAATTTACAAACTTATACAAATAACTGTTCATAATACTTTATTGTCCTCTTCTTCTGTAGAAAAAACTAAATATATACAATTGAGAAATAATTTGATATTCTTTATTCCTATAAAAATAACTTGAGGGGGGCTTCCCTGGTGGCGCAGTGGTTGAGAGTCCGCCTGCCGATGCAGGGGACATGGGTTCGTGCCCCGGTCCGGGAGGATCCCACATGCCGCGGAGCGGCTGGGCCCGTGAGCCATGGCCGCTGAGCCTGTGCGTCCGGAGCCTGTGCTCTGCGATGGGAGAGGCCACAACAGTGAGAGGCCCGCGTACCACCAAAAAAAAAAAAAAAAAAAGAGGGCTTCCCTGGTGGCGCAGTGGTTGAGAGTCCGCCTGCCGATGCAGGGGACACGGGTTTGTGCCCTGGTCCGGGAAGATCCCACATGCCGCGGAGCCGCTGGGCCTGTGAGCCATGGCTGCTGAGCCTGCGTGGCCGGAGCCTGTGCTCCACAACGGGAGAGGCCGCGACAGTGAGAGCCCCGCGTACCACAAAAAAAAAATAAAATAAAAAAAAAACTTGAATATAGAGGCATACGATGGTTGAGTTCGGCTGATAGTACGGTAACCAGTAACCGCAGGGCGCCAGCAAAGAAAATGTTCAGTTCTTCATTCACAGAAGCCACGGTTCAGGTGCTCACCAGCCACGGCTGACTAGTGGCTTCCTTACTGGACACAGATATAGAGCATTTCCATCCTGATAGAAGGTTCTATTGGACAGCACTGCGCTAGAGCGCGTGTTACATGCTTCCCTCACCCACCACCAACGTAGAAGTGACTCAACTTGAAGTTACTTTTGTTTGACTAGTTTGCCTATTAGTTGATCACCATAAAAATTATGATCCTATAAAACTTACTCATCACCAAACTAAGATCAGAGGAGTTTCAGGGAAGAACTCCACATGGACTATTCATTTAAACCGTCAAATCATGGCCTTTCATGATTCTGTTTGACTCTCTACAGATCTTTATAAAGCAGAGAGGGGCCTTGATAGACTCTAGGGAATATCTTTTCAGGTGAGCAAAATACCTTACACTAAATGGAAATCAAGTGTAAGGTTAGAACTTCACTTACAATTTGATTTTTTGGTGTTGTCAAGAGTCTAGAGCACCACAATTTGTTTTGGTCAAAATTTACCCCTGTAGGGTAGATATCCATTTAATGATCAACAGAGGTGCTGTATTTTAAAATTGTCGTCTCGGGGCTTCCCTAGTGGCTCAGTGGTTAAGAATCTGCCTGCCAATGCAGGGGACACGGGTTCGAGCCCTGGTCTGGGAAGATCCCACATGCGGCAGAGCAGCTAAGCCCGTGCGCCACAGCTACTGAGCCTGCGCTCTAGAGCCCGCGAGCCACAACTACTGAGCATGTGTGCCACTACTACTGAGCCTGCGCTCTAGAGCCCGCGTGCCACAACTACTGAAGCCCACGCGCCTAGAGCCCATGCTCTGCAACAAAGAGAAGCCACCACAATGAGAAGCCCGCACACCACAACGAAGAGTAGCCCCCCACTCGCTGCAACTAGAGAAAGCCGGCACACAGCAACGAAGACCCAACGCTAAAAAAAAAAAAATTTTTTTAATTTAAAAAATAAATAAATGAATTTAAAAAAAAATATTGTCTCTATCCTTCTTTAGTTAATATTCAGAATGAAAACCATGCTAAGGGAAAAAAGTTTATAGGAGCTCTTTATTCTGGTAGGCAAGGAATACTTTTGTTTTAGCTACTGATTGTAAACTTAAAAAAATCTCTGGCTGTCAAGATACAGTACAAAGTGTATTTAAAACACAAACTGCTTCCTTCGTTCCACTTCTAAGTCTCCTCCAAGCTCAGTTTTGTCATTAAATAAGACAAGCGCCCCTGTGACAGGCTAGGTCCCAGGAAGGGCAGATATTGTTCTTAGCATTCCAGCTCTCTGAGAGTGGATCGGAAACCCTCTGTAGTTTCAGGCTCCCAGATTCTTCTGGATCTTACACATCTAGTACTTGAAATGATCTTTGTTTCAAAGCACCAGTGTCACCAAATGCTAATTCTGTACAGCTGGCCACAGAATTTATCTGGTTCTTAAAAATTGGATACTGAGCTGAATTTTATTTTACTGTTTATCTCAAAATAACCCTTGTGTTGGCTCTCCAAACCTGGTGTTTGAACACAGGCCCCAGCAGAGCTTTCCTTTCCCTCGGTCCCCCGCTTTTGGCCTGGACCCAGAAACTTTTAAGTGGCGCTACAAAGTGAAAATATGACAGCTGAGATCCTAAAAAGACCTATAGCTAACTTCTGTGTAACAATACATCAAGTAACCTATTGTTTTCTGTTGAGCTGAAGATTGGGACTGAAAGTGCTATTAGAACTGAGGACAATTATAATGGCTTCCTGCTTAGTTTAGACCTATTACACCATGAATTTTAGAACAGAATATGGAAAAAAATCTAAAACAGGATAAGGAAAGAAGAATGATAATCGCCCCCACCCCGCCCAATAAAGTGAATGGAGGGCAATGGATTCTCTTTAGTTTTAATTTTAGTTAAATACGAATCTAGGGGAAAATTCTAGCGAATAATACAATTGAGCCACAGAGTGAAACTTGTAAGACTTTTAACAAAGAAGAACCAGTGAAAATATTCCATTTAGGATGAGAGTAATTTATACACTAAAAAGATATCCTTGACAACAGCGTCATTTGGGTTTGAGGTAAGTACAGAGGCATAATCCTCTGAAAGAATACTGCGGACACAAAAAGGCATCAAGTGTGTAGAAAAGGGATGTTCCACTGTGTCCCCCCCTCATGCCCCAAGTCTGCGTTCTCCCCTGCTATTCCTGCCTTCTTTTTCATTTCTTCTCAATGAAACCACTGAGAAAACAGAAATGGTGACACTGGGTCATATACAAAAATTTCCCAATGAAGACCTTAATAAGTAACTTTAAAACAGGCATTTTAAAGCTCTAGCCGTTATCACAGTACTTGGTGAATATGAACATATTTGCTTCTTTTCCCGTGAATCATCAAAAGTCTTGAAAGCTTCAGAAGGTGGTCTTCAGGAGTTCAAAGTATTTTATTTATGAAAGAATGGATTTCACTGTTGCCTACTCTACCAATGTAAATTTAGTCTTCATCGATTAAAAAAATTTTTTTCATAGCAGCAAGTTTTTATCTTGAAGTTTGCTTTCAAGGGAATTTGATGTTCCATCATGAATCAAATTATTTGTTCCCAAAGTAACTTCATTTGCAAAATGTCAGTAAAGTTCATAGCTCTCTATTAAAATTCGAGCCACTCTGTCATGTAAATACAGTTAGATGGTGAAATCTCACCACCTTCATGGCAGTCGTCAAAAACCTTTAAAAAAGAAAAAAGGTTATATTCAAACTGAAGTTTTAAAATTATTACATTATAGGTAATGTCTTAAATATCAACTACAACAAAATTCTAACAAAATATCCAAGACCCAACCATTTATTTAAAGCAATATTAAAAACAAAACTTTCAAAGTGAAAGAGGTTAGGACTGTAAATAAGAACATACTGGAATAGGACCTGCTCTGTGATCATACAGTGAGTGAGAGACCTTTCACTGTAGCACTAAGCTGACCATATCCACCTACCCACTGGGCAGAAGGCAGGTAACAACAGTCCAGGAAGGGAGATATATACACACTAATGACTTAATCTTAACTAACCAAATGTTTCATGTTGAGCCACCTTCCTTTTTGTGAAGGGTGCTAAATAGAATTCCCAACAGGTTAGCCTTTTTTCTAGGAGTTGAAACCAGGGCATAGAGAGCTTAGGCATGTAGACAATAAAACACGGACTAACAGCCCAAGAATATAAATGCCACAAGGGCTGGCACGGTGCCTGCAGCACACAGGTGGCTTTCAGAGACTATCTGGGAACAAAAGAATGAAGAGTGTGGGGTGGGCCTCGAGGGAAAGCACATCACCTCTGGGTGTGAGTCCTGGTTGTCGTGTCTCAGCTGAATGCTTAGGTCGCCCTCAGCCTGAGTTCCCTCACACTTAAAGGGAAGTAACATCACTAGCTCCAAGGGACGTAAGGAGGATTAAATGAGACCACAGAAATCTTCAAGAACATGTCTGGCCCATAGTAGGTTCTCAACAAATCTCATTTCCCTCCCTACTGAGGTGAAATGATTAGCCCTCATCAAAAATCGTCCATCTGGGGACTTCCCTGGCAGTCCAGTGGTCAAGACTCCACGCTTCCACTGCAGGGGGTGCAGGTTCGACCCCTGGTCAGGGAACTAAGATCCCACATGCCGTGCAGTGCAGCCAAAAAGAAAAAAAATGTCCATTTTGGGGCCAAGAGCAGAAAACAAATTTCCTTAACATGGTTATTCTAAGAAAGAATACAAGGTGACGATTTGTTGGTTAAAGCTCTGTCATCAAGGTTACATGGAGGTTTCCACAGTTCTTGGTCAACCCTGAGTTTGAGGAAACTAGGGTGTGCTTGCTGGTATCAATACGTCATGTGGCATCTGCACTCGGTGGCAGTGAAGTGTGAAGCGAAGCCATTGTAACTCACCGGGCAGAGTCCGCAGGGGGCCCGCACCAATCCCGTGGGCGGGATGATAGGATTGACTGCCCTGTACAGTTTCATGTGTCCGTCCACACTGCCTACGGTGCCTTCTTTTGCAGCGATGATAGTCATCTCCACTTTCCCATCATAAATGAGTGTATTTAAGATGGTCTCAATGTCCTCCATGGACAACTCTACCTACAAAAGGGATACGTTAGAAAGGACCCAAAAAGGACAAGGAGACATCATTTTGGAGGGTGTTAAAAAACATAAAAGGCCACAATTCCTTGGTGAAATGGGGAAGGATTATGCTGGAGAGTAAATGGAGGCATAAAGAGGCTGAACAATGGCCGAAGTGAGCACAGACCCTCAAATACCAGGGGCAGGGCTCTGAGCTCGCACTGAGCTTGACACTTGCTGATGTCTTTACCCTCCCAAGGAAAATCTAGACATCTTGTAACATTCTTTGGCAAGAATTTGATGGAGGTTTATAAAATGCTTGAGCAGAAAGGTATTTTAGACATCAAATAGTCCAAATTCCTGTTTTTTTATGAAAGAGAGATCTGGAGCCCAGGAAATGAAAATGACTTGTCCAAGCAGCCACTTCAGCTTCTTCTCTGATGATGAAAAGTGTCAAGCACAGTGTGTCTGTACAGATCTTCAGAGAATGTGCTGACAATGCCACTAACATCTCATAAGTAGGAAAATACCAATAAACGACAACTGCTATGATGATGGATGTCTGGCACATATATGGAAACGTCCCCAAGAGAATCAAGAACTTGTCAGAACAGACTTTTGAATCTGGTAGTGAAATGCACTGCCAGGCCTCCACTCTGCTGCTCTGTAGCCCAAGCTCAGGTACATACAGTTCAGAAAGTGCCCGGTGGCAATGACCGCCATTGCCTGACTGCCTTAGGACAGTACTTCCTCAAAGTGCGTTCTGCAGAATGTACATGGGTATCACCAGAAAAAAGGGTCTGGGTCAGCTGTGTTTGCAGTACATTGTAAACTATATCCCTATGATGAAGAATAAGTTTTTAAAAATAAGATGAAAATTAGAAACCGAGTTCCAACCTTACTGATCCCCAATTCACAGATATACTTCCACACTTCATGTGATGAAGCAAATGAACTATTTCTTTGTATCATTGGATTCTGTTTGCTTTCTCGTGCTGTTTCTGCCTATAAGGGTAGAAACATAAATTTCAGGAAGAATACTGGTGCCTTCTGAATACAATTCATATAGAGTGAGATCAACAACAGGACATATTTTGTTTAGTAAAAATGACCAATTTCAATGTTTTCAATTCCTGTAAGATATGATACACAAGATTAAACATTCCTTATGAAGAAACTTAAAAAAACTATACTTGGAGTGATGTTTCCTCAATTATGCCTCACCTTGGTTTGTAGGAATTTAAAACACTGTTGGTTAAGCACCTCTACAAATTCAGATTCAAAATCCTGGTCACTGTACCAGGCTCCACCAGTCACAGAGCGGTCTGGCTGCAGGTTATAGAGCATGTACACCTTCTTTTTTGAGGCCTAGGAAAAAACACGCACAGTAGATGGTTAGAGGTAACAAAATAGTCTTCCAAAACTAAGACTTAAAAACCCCCAAAGCTTCATATTTCAGAGCAGTTTGGGATTTACAGAATTATTGTGAAGATGGGACCTTGTGCTCAGCTTCCTCTAGTACTAACACCTGACATTACCACAGTACATCTGTTATAGCTAATGAAACAATATTGATAGGTCAAAATTAATTATAAAGTCTACACTTTATTCAGATTCCCTTCATTTTTCCCTAATGTCCTTTTAATGGTCCAGGATCCTATCCAGAATACCATATTATTACAAATTTATTATACATGAGGCAAATTTTGGTTGTGACAGTTTCTCAGACTTTCCTTGTTATTGGTGAATTTGCCATTTTTTAGAATTACTGGCAAAAAATTCTGTAGGATGTCCCTTAATTGGGATTTGTCCGAGTAGACTGGAAAAAAGACCACAGAGGAAAAGTGCACTTCTCATCATGTCATATCAAGAGTACCTGATCATCACTAAATGATGATTGATTGTCATCAATATAACATCAGCCTTGACATTATAAATCCATCACCTGGTTTGAGGTAGTGTTTCTCAGTTTTCTCCACTGTAAAGTTACTTTTTGTCCTGACCTTTCCATATGTGGAAGGAAGCCACCACGCACAGTCCACACTTAAAGACTGGGAGTTCGCTCTACTTCCTTGAGGATGAAGAGTCTACACAAATTATTTGGAATTCTTCTGCATGAAGACTTGTCTATTCTCGCCCATTGATTTATTTATTCAAATATTTATATTAGTATGTTCTCATGAATATTTATTTTATACTTTGGGTTACAATCTAATACTACTTAAGTCTGAAACTTTGAAAACATCATGCTAAGTGAAAGAAGCCAGACACTAAAGACCATATATTGGTAGTTCCCTGGCAGTCCAGTGGTTAGGACTCGGTGCTGTCACTGTCTTGGCCCAGGTTCAATCCCTGGTCAGGGAACTAAGATCCCACAAGCCACACGGCATGGCCAAAAAAAACCCAAAACAAAACAAAACACAGCAACATTAAAAGGATATAATTAAAAAAATTAGAACAGTGTGGTGACTGCAGAACTCTGTGAATATACTAAAACCCACTGAATTAAATCTCAATAAAGCTGCTACTAAAAATAAAGATGTACAGCATGATTGGCAAAATGAAGCTAGGCATGGGTACGTGGGGATTCATTTTGTTATTTTCTATACTTTTGTACATATTTGAAATTATCCAATAAAAATGTGGAAGAGAAATAATATTCTAAATGAGGGAGTGGTAGGACATAAATACCATTGATAAATAAAACCACTGATGACTATCAAATTTTTATTTGCTGAATTTTGTGTTCAAGCACACTTTAATCTAGGAGCACCCCAGCTCCTCTGATGCCTCAATCAGTGAAATCAGCAATGTGTCTGCTGGAGCCAGCTCTGGATCCTGGAGCCCCTGGAGGATGCGACGGGGTGGCTGGCAAGAGGAGGAGGAGAAATCCCATGTGCTGGAACAGATGCTCCACCAGGGCCAGGGCAGAGAACTTTCTGTGACCTGCTCACTAATGTATTCCAAGCCCCCAGAACAGTGCCCAGCACACAGCAAATGCACGACGGGTATTTGTGGAATGGGTAATCTCATACACCAGGTTGAAATAAATTATCTTACATATCACAAAATCCAGGAAAAATGTTCGTGATCCCCCAAATTCTTTACTGAAGAGAGTAAAGTAGTTCTAGATTTTTGAGTGGGTAAGACTCTAAGAGTTAACTGGCAGTGACATATCTAAAGCAGCATCTCCAAACCATCCGATATGAGCTAAAATTTAAAAAATCTTTTTTGACCAGTTGTTTTAAATCATGACATAGCTTAAAGAATAAAAACCTGAAATATACTTGGAGTAATATATGTACAGAGAACATCCAGGGGAAGAAAAGAGATGGTTACTCACTGCCACAGACTTAACAGCTTTAATTAGCTTTTTACTTTCCAGATTCTTTAGAATTTTGTTAATTTCTGTTAATGGCAAGTTGCTTTTGTATCGGATATCTCTGCTCCATATTCCTATAAGAAAGTAAAGTAAAATAAGTTGAACACTATAGGATGTGTGTTTCTTTTCCCATTGCTTATATCTCATTATAAATCTAGCAAATTATGTATACATTCCTAGAGCATAGCTATAGGAAAAATGAATTAGAGGTAAGAGTCTCAGATAAAGTAACAAAAATATGCAAAACAATACATAAGTTATATGTTCTATTTTCTAACTGGAAATTTCTTGGAATGCCAGTGTGGCACCTTTTAAAAAACATATGAAAAGGACATTTTTGTAATGGAAGAAAAATCTTGAATGTCACTGAATTAACATATATTGCCTTTTCCATGCCCCCCTACATCCCAACCTCTTTTTTTCTTTAAATATCACTTTAGATTGTATATGTGAAAAACAAACTTAAGTTTGGGTCTGGGTTGGCTGCCACCCTTGATGAGAGCAAAAACCACTTTATGAGAGCATCTGTGTGCATGTATGTCCATTATTTATACAGCACTATATTTGGAAAATAGAAAGATTACAGTTCCCATAGTCACTAAAAGCCTGTGCAGAAAGCTATGATTTTTCTTTCAAAGAAGGAAATATGTGTTATATGTATACAAGGAATTTATGTTAAAACATTTTGCTGTATTTTCTTCCCAACGTGAAGGCATAATAAGATAGGAAGATTTTTTTAAAATAGAGAATGACTTATTTATTTTTAAAATTTTAATTTAACTTCCCAACACATATAAAAATTATATGACTTCAGATTACATCGTAATTGTTAAAGCTAATATCAATGACTCAAACAGATCTTAAATTGTAATAACAGCAATTTCGATAAAGTTCTTTAAGGGCAACAGGAGAGGAACTAAATAGCTCTTGAGGGAGCTACACCAGACACTGCCACACTGCACTAGGCGTCCCTCGGATTTTTGCAAAAACCAGAGAGATGTTATTATCCACCATTTACAGATAAGAGGAAGAAACGAAGCCTTCCAAAATTTAGCAAGTAAGGATTAAAAAAAAAACTCTTAAGTTTTAATTTATTTATTTTGAATAGATAATATATTCATATGGTCCACATTCAGAAGTCTCTTTCCATCCCTGCCCACAGCCATCTAGTTCCTATCTCCCTGAAGCAACAACAGTGTCACTCCTGGGTGTCCTTCAAATGTATGTACATTATATATTGTTATATATATATGTGTGTGTGTGTGTGTGTGTTATATTTTCTTTTCCTTTTAACAAACGGCAGCATACTGAACTGACTGATCTATATCCTGGGAAGCCAGGATCTCAGTCCCCACTATCTGGTCCTAGAGACAGTGTTGTTTCTGCTGTTCCTCTACATGCTTACCTTTATTTCCTGCATCCTCTATGATTTGATATACTAGTTTTTCCTGGTTATCTGATCCTTTCATTTTACTGCAGGGAAATAAAGGAGAATTAAAAAGGCAAAGAGGTACAGGATAATCTAATAATCTACAAGACTACTTAAACGAATGAGCAGACAAGGTCATCACATTGACTTATTTACCAAAAGAAGGGCTTACCTTAAAAAGAATGAGACAGGGCTGTATGTACCAAATGAAAAGATGTCCAAGATATAGTAAGTGAAAAAAAACAAGTTGCAAAACAGTATGGATATCATGATCCCATTTTTGTTAAAATAAGAAAAAAAAAAAGAGAGAGAGATTATATATAAATATATGGTATATAAATATATAATCATCTATATGTATTTATATATACCTATAAGAAAGGATATATGCCAAAATATTAACAGCAGCTATCTCTGGGAAATGGAACGCATATGGGAGGTGAGATGATACACGGGCCAGGTTTACATGATGCAATTCTGTACTGGCTTTCTTTCCCCAAACACATATTACTTTTATCATATTAAAATTTTCTTAAAATAAAAAATTAGGTGCTTACCCAGCATTCTGAGACTCCTTTATTCTATACAGAAGGCCTGTATTGCTCCTTAAGAGATCCAGCTGACCCTAAAGTTTTTTTTTTTAAAAAAGAAAATAACAGTGAATTATTTTGGAGATATATCAAATCCAATGACAAACGCTAATGCATTCTTCAATATTTTACAAGGACTAAAATAGCCTACCTCCCATAGTTGCCAGTTCTTCACTTGAGTACTTAAGTTGTTTCCTACATGTCACATGTGATGTACTTTTTAAAACTTAACTCTTTATCTCGCCATTTCCCCAAATATTAATACCTAACAATTTTCTACATGTTAGATCCTGGCTTGGTTATATGATCAATGTGTAAAGAATTTTAAACAAGCAGCTTTAGAATAATAAATAAAAATCCATATTTAATTCAAATAAATTCAATAAATATATATAAATATAGTAAAATGTAATTTGTCTAAAAAAGTTCAAATAAAGGCTATTCATGCAAAAATATTCTATGGTACAATGATTAAATGAAATTTACAATGTTAATAGTAACATTTACTGACATGTGTGACTTCTGTAGTGTTACATGAAAATTAGGCAGAAAGGTCAACCAATGAATAAAAAGCCTGTAGTAGTTCTGTTTTTATACAAGTCACAAGTAAAACAAAGCATGTGTGTCACGCTCCTGCATTTCCTTGGGTCTGAACTTAGGAGAACCCAGATGGCTGTACCACTGGGCTTCCAGCAGTTCAGGGAAGCACAGCTAAGAGAGGCCCCATTCCCACGAGTTAAGGCTGGGCAGACCCATGACTTGGAATTAGGTTGATATGTGGATGAACAGCAATACTTTCCCTCCCTCCCTCAAACCACAAAGCCCAATTTGGAGGCTCCATTCAGTTGTTCATCTCAGCCTATGAACATTTACTGAACACCTGTACTGTGATATATGTTTGGGGGGGACAAACATGGATTCTGAAAGAGAATTACACAGCTGACTTCAATACCATCGGGTTGGCATTAAGACAGAGCTAAGTAAAGGGTGGGACAGCCTCTCAGAGAAGCAGCTTTGGCCCAGCCTGGGGGGACAGTGAGGATCCCTGGAGTCGATAGCAGAGATGAGTCTTGAGAATAATGAGGAGTCAGTCTGTGAGGAAAGGGAAAAAGGGCCTGCTAAGCAGGGACGACAGCATGAGCAAAGGAACTGAGGCATGAAACAGCGTGATTTGCTAGGGAACCAAAAACCCATCTGTTCCTTCTGAAAACTAACTTTTGAGTTGGAGGGGTGGAGGGAGATGAGGTGGGTGCAGAAGGGAGGGGTTCAGTGTGGTAAACCCAGGAGTGTGGACTTGAATCTCTAGAGTTGAGAGAAGAGTTTTTGGTGGGAAAGTGACTTGGTCAAATCTGTATTTAAGACAGAGCAGGCTGGTTGCTCTGAGGCACATGGAGCCAGGAAAGCCCGTTAAGATGCACTGTAATAGTCCAAGTAAAAGCCAAGAGCCTGAAGACATGCAGGGGTAGTAGGAATGGAAACAGTGGAACAGATTTGAGAATTGTTTAAGAGGTAAAATCAGCAACACTCGTGATTTATTAATAATTACTCCCTTGCTTAAAATTCTTCAGTAGCTCTACCACTGCCTACAGCCTGTAGCCGACAGAACTGGCAATAGGTGGGGTTGCAGAGGTGGTGAAAGAGAGTGAGGTGCTGAGCATAATTTTCAGACAGAAAGAAAAGGCTAAAAGGGAGGGTCCGAGAACAAAAACATTTTTAATTGCCACACTTCCCAGCATGCCTTGCTCTATCCATCCTGGACTTGAAGACCTTCACAATGGTGAATTGACTAGAAAAAACCAACACTCCTTTTTCCTTTGGCTAGAACAGCGTTCAGCAATCTGGTGCACTGCTTTTTTTTTGAACTGAAGTATAGTTGAGTTACAATATTATATTAGTTTCAGGTGTACAACATAGTGAGCTCATATTTATAGATTATACTCCATTTAAAGTTATTATAAAATATTGATTATATTCCCTGTGCTGTACAATATATCCTTGTAGCCATTTTATACATAGTAGGTTGTACCTCTTAATCCCATACCCTTATCTTGCCCCTCCCTCTCCCCACTGGTAACCACTAGTTTGTTCTCTATATCTGTGAGTCTGTTTTGTTATATTCATTCCTTTGTTTACTTTTTAGATCCCACATATAAGTGATATCATATGTGTATTTGTCTTTCTCTGTCTGACTTACTTCACTAAGTATGATAATCTTTAGGTCCAACCATGCTGCTGCAAAGGGCATCATTTTGTTCTTATTTACGGCTGAGTAATATTCCATTGTATATATATACCACATCTTCTTTATCCATTCATCTGTTGATGGACACTTAGGTTGCTTCCATATCTTGGTTATTGTAAATAATGCTGCTATGAACATTTGGGTGCATATATCTTTTTGAATTAGTGTTTTCATTTTCTTTGGATATATACCCAGGAGTGGAACTGCTGGATCATATGATAGTTCTATTTTTAGTATTTTGAGGAACCTCCATACTGTTTTCCACAGTGGTGGCACCAATTTACATTCCCACCAACAGTGTACAAGGATTACCTTTTCTCCATATCCTCACCAACATTTGTTGTTTGTGGTCTCTTTTATGATAGTCACTCTGACAGGTGTGAGGTGATATCTCATTGTTTTGATTTGCATTTCTCTAAAAATGTTGCTACAATTTATGTCAGTGTTCTCCCTGTGTTTTCTTCCAGGAGTTTTACAATTTCCAGTCTTACAGTTAAGTCTTTAATCCTTTTTGAGTTTATTTTTATATATGTGTGAGAAAAAGTCCTAATTTCATTTTTTACATGTAGCTGTCCATTTTTCCTAGCATGACTTGTTGAAGAGACTCCTTTCCCCATTGTATACTGTTGATTCCTTTGTCTTAAATTAATTGACCGTAAGTGGATGGGTTTATTTCTGGGCTCTCTATTCTGTTCCATTGATCTATGTATCTCTTTTTGTGCCAGAACTATACCGTTTTGATTACTGTGGCTTTGTAGTATAGTCTGAAGTCAGGAAGCATGACACCTCCAGCTTTGTTCTTTTTTTCTCAAGATTGCTTTGGCTATTCAGGCTCTTTTGTGGCTACCCATACATTTTTGTATTATTTATTTTAGTTCTGTGAAAAATGTCCTGGGTATTTTGATAAGGATCACATTAGATCTGTAGATTGCTTTGGATAATATGGACATTTAAACAATACTAATATAGTCTTTACTTTTTATTTATTTATTTTATGGCTGCACCACGCAACATGCAGGATCTTAGATCCCCAACCAGGAATTGAACCCACGCCCCCTGAAGTGGAAGTGCGTATTCTTAACCACTGGACCACCAGGGAAGTCCCCATTTTAACAATATCAATTCCTCCAGTCCAAGAACATTGGATATCTTTCTATTTCTTTGTAGCACCTTCAATTTCCTTCATCAGTGTTTTATAATTTTCAAAGTTAGATCTTTCACCTCCTTGGTTAAGTTTATTCCTAGGTATTTTATTCCTTTTATGTGATTTTTAAACAAGATTGTTTTCTTGCTTCCTCTGATAGTTCATGATTAGTGTATAGAAAAGCAACAGATTTCTGTGTATTAATCTTGACCCTGCAACTTTACTGAATTCATTTATTAGTTCTAATAGTTTTTTGATTGAGATTTTAGGGTTTTCTATATATAGTATTATGTCATCTGCAAATAAGGACAGTTTTATTTCTTCCCTTCCCATTTGTATGCCTGGGCTCTGGCACTGAAAGCACCAAGTCCTAACCACTGGACTGCCAGGGAATTCCCTTCTTCCTGATTTTAGAGGAAAGGCTTTCAGCTTTTCACCACTGAATATGATGTTAGCTATGGGTCTGTCATAAATGGCTTTTATTGTGTTGAAATATGTTCCCTCTATACCAACTGTGCTAAGAGTTTTTATCATGAATGGATGTTGAATTTTGCCAAATGCTTTTTCTGTGTCAATTGAGAAGATCATGTGAATTTTATCCTTCCTTTTGTTACTGTGGTGTATTACACTGATTGATTTCTGCATATTGAACCATTTTTGCCTTCCTGTAATAAATCCCATTTGGTCATGGTATATGATCCTTTTTGCATACTGTTGAATTTGGTTTGCTAATATTTTGTTGAGGATTTCTACATGTATATTCATCGGAGACACTGGCCTCTACTTTTCTTTTTTTGGTAGCATCTTTGTCTAGTTTTGGTATCAGAGTAATGGGAGCCTCATAGAACGAATTTGGGAGTGTTTCCTCCTCTTCAATTTTTTGGAAGTGTTTGAGAAGGACTAGTATCTGCTCTTCTTTATATGTTTGCCAGAACTCCTCTGTGAAGCCATCCAGTCCAGGACTTTTGTTTGCTGGGAGTTTTTTGATTACTAGTTCCATTTTACTACTAGTGACTGGACTGTTCAGATTGTCTATTTCTTCCTGATCATCACATGTTTATCCCTTAACTGTTTATTGTAGTTATAGTTGATTTTTCCATTTTTTGTCTTTTAATCTTCATACTAGCTTATTTAAGTGTTTGATCCAAAGCCTTTACTATGTATTTGCCTTTACTAGCAGTAAGAAGCAAACAGAAGGTGTGAATAGACTATGCCCATAGGTAGTTGTGTGCCATTATGTAGCTTAGTGACAATTAGGTTACTAAATATAACAGTTAAAATACAAGTATTTCATTTGTCTTGTAAAATGCATATTACTTCTTCTTTCCTTAATTCAGGCAGTCTGAGCTGTTTCCTGGTTTGGAGTCTTATCAGTCACAACCTAACACACTTTTGAGAATGGTTTCGTGACTACATAACAGGAAGTAATGACAATCACAACATTTAAGTAATTACATGAACTAGTTGGGTTCACCTTACCATGGACAACAGTCTATTGATGGCCACTGCCCGCTGCTGGGCTTCTATATGCGGCATTTCATTCTGAATTACTTGGTCTGTGATTCCATGAGGGAACTGGTGACATAATTCTATAATCCTAGGAACAAAGGCATTAATGATATTCATGTTTCTACCTATCTCAAGAGGTGGTAGGGGAAAAAATACAAGAAGAACAGTTTGGACTTGTGCCTTTTTTCACATCTGATAGATAATCTAGGTTTCTACAATGGTTCTGATTCAAAGCATATTAAAAATGAGGACGATGCTTTTGAAATACACGTTTACATTTTTATTGTATTTAAGAGAAGCATTTCTTTTCCTTATTCACATGAACTTTAAATTAGAACAAAAGTCAAATGAAAACACAGAAAGACATATTAAAGCTGAGGCTTCAGTTTTCTCAGACGGTACAAGTATGACAAAGGGAAGATACAGTGCCTTGGATAGCCATAAGTCTGTGAGCAGGAGGTAAATCAAACACTTCTGGTGGGAAGTCAAAATCTGTTATGACAATTCACCACAACTGGGACCTGCTTTTAGAATTATCCCTAAGAAACAAAAACAAACTCGAATTTTCATCTTGCCCTAGGATCATCATATGTGTTATTCATAATAGTTTTAAGAAGTGGGGGTCCTTTAAAACTATGTGGTACCCTAAAAATTGCAGTGCACGGTAGAGAACATAAAATCGGCAGAGGCTTTGGGCGCCCCCAAATCTTCACTTGTATACTGCACTAAAACCATCTGACTTGTGTTGCTTCATAACAGAAAACTGCACCCTAACTTCGGCTAAACGTTCTGCCACGGGAGTTCCCTTATTGACAAGGGCGATCCAGGATCAGAACGTGTATCCACAAGTACTACGGGGAAAACGCCGAGTCTTCACTCTGAGCGTGGATCACCTTAATGTGGGAAAGAAGCGCATCAGTAGAGCTTCCCGAACAGCACCAGGGAAAGGTCAGCTACACAATCTTGCAAACAGTCCGACTCGTTTCGAAATTAAGAGTTCTGTTTTCCGGGGATGAGAGGAGGGTTCCAACACCCGCGATCCCCTCCCTGCGCGTCCACTGAACTTGCGAGGGTCCCGGAGACGGGGTCCAGCGCCTCGCAGGGCCTCCCGAGCCGGGAAAAAATTCTCACTCACTGATTTACCTGTTTTCGATTTCGACCGGATCCGCGTCGGGCGGCTGCACTTTCACCTTCACCTCGGCCATGAGGGCGCAGGTCCCGGTTCCTGGGGGAAGAGACGGTCCGGAAAGCCGGACAGCAAGCGGGGGAACCCTAGAACCTATGAAGACAGCGCCTGGCTCATGGGCCTTCTTCCTCGTGTCGCAAGCGGTCCTTCTTTGCCAGTCGCCTTGGGGTGGCCAAGCCGCGCCTGCGCCGCTACAAATTCTTATTCTGGTTTTTCCAGAATGTCAGTGCCTGTCGGACGAACAAGCCTGGTTCCCCTATTCTGAGTTGGGACGCCACCTTGTAGCACTTTCCAATCTCTGTGAGGGCAAGTTCTCGGTCGCCTACGGTGAAGCCTGACGAAAGGAGCTCGAGTCGGGTACCAGTCTCCGGGCCAAGCGCAGGGGCGGGGCTAGTTGCTAGGAAGCCGGGCTCCTGCCAATCACCTGCCCGACTCTCAGGTGGCGGGGCGCGGCTCGCAGCGTCTTTGGTAACCCGGACCTCTGTGAAGGAGAGAACGAAGGGCAGTGAGCGGTGGGCTGCCTGCGTGGGGGACTGCGGAGGTACTCCGGGGTTCCCAATCAGGTCCCGGTGGCCGGAGGAGAAGGAGGAGGACGGCAGCCCTCACTCCTGCTGAGAGGTAGAGGACGTCCTTGGGTGCACCTGAAGGACGGGGACAAGGACCAGGCGCGGTTCCTGATGCGGGCGGTGAGGGGGCAGTCTGGATGGAGGGGTTGCGGGGTAGGGGATGCTGTTGACGCCACACTGACATTTGGGTCTAACGGATCGGTCTACTGATTGATCCTCTTCGCTCGGGGCCCACTGGCCTACCCACTGGCAGTCTTCCAAGGGCAGCTCCTAGTCGCCGCATGAATTATTCCCTCCCCAAATGTTTTTATTTTGAACTAGCTTTTAACTGTTTTTATTTTAACTGTCTCTCACTTAAATGAAAGTGTGAGGATGGGCAAGCTCCAGAGTACATCCCTTCTGTAGGGGCCATTGCTCCACTATCTATATCTGTATCTGCAATTTAACTTCTTACCCTCCGACCTGGAACTGTCCAACCAGGCATTAAGTTCACTGCTTAAGTTTAGTTATCCCACCTTTGGGTTATATTCTGTGACAAACCTCAAACCACAGAGATGTTCAGGGCAACATTATTTATTTTAAATTTTTTTTTTTTTTTTTGGTCGTGCCTCAGACTTGTGGGATCTTAGTTCCCCGACTGGGGATGGAACCTGGGCCCCCTGCAGTGAAAGCGTGGAGTCCTAACCACTAGACCGCCAGGGAATTCCCAGGGTAACGTTATTTAGAATAGCAAAACCCAAAACTAAAAAGAAACTAGTAAATGCCTAAATGTCCAATCACAAATTGATAACTAAGATTATATAAGTACTTGGAAAATTGTAAATAATAGTGGAGGGTGCAAGAAGTACACTATAAAATTCGAGTTTTAATATAGATTTTAGTTGAGTAAAACCTATGCATCCATTATCATTGAAATTTGAACAGACCATTGGAGATGTAAATGGTTGCTGTATTAAGGTGTGGGGTTTTTTCCCCCTGAATCCTTTATGTATTAATAATTATGAGCCCCCCCCAAGAAAAAGATCCCTAAGGTCTCCATACTTGTACTTAATTATTTATAAATACAGTAGATGGAGTGGGAGACTTTTGTGTTTTTTTGCTCACTGTTTATATCCATGCTAGCTTTCTTCCGGCTGAGGCGTGATCCTCTGCCATCCTTCTAAAGTTTCTTTTGCAGCTTTCACGTGCAAGAACCAATTGGTGACAACTGCAGGGCTTTGAACCTGGAGCTCTCCCAAAGGAGTTGGCTCTAAATTAACATTTCATGCTACATACAGAGTTACTTCTGTTCCTCTTGTGTGCTGACTTCCCTGAAACCAAGAGAGGTGGCAGAAAAATGTGGTAATGATCCAGGGGTTGCTCAGGTCAGATCATCAGTGATGGTCTCTGCTCTGATGAGTTCACTTAATTTGTCCCTTTTAAAAGAATTTTGTGCTCCCATCCCATACATTCATGCTTTTTCCCCCAAAGTGAGGTAAATATTTAGATAATCAAAACCCCACACAAGATCTCAACAGCAAAACTACAGCTGAAACAATAATTATTTCAATTAAAAATGATATTTGTGGGCTTCCCTGGTGGCGCAGTGGTTGAGAGTCCGCCTGCCGATGCAGGGGACACGGGTTTGTGACCCGGTCCGGGAAGATCCCACATGCCGCGGAGCAGCTGGGCCTGTGAGCCATGGCCGCTGAGCCTGCGCATCCGGAGCCTGTGCTCCGCCACGGGAGAAGTCACAACAGTGAGAGAGGCCCGCGTACCGCAAAAAAAAAAAAGATATTTGTATTAACGCAACATTGTAAATCAACTATACTTCAATTTAAAAAAGACAAAAAAAACACAAAGAACTGAGATGAGTCTCCCAAAAAATAAAAAATATAAACGATATTTGTAGATAATGGATTAACAGTATTCTCTTTAGTTTTTACTGGTCTCACTGTACTTGAACGAGGTGCTTCTCTTCAGTGTTTGTGTTCAAATATAGGTGCCCATTGGAATTTATTTTCATCCACTGTTTTTTAATGTAAGGAGGGGAAATGACGGCTGGTTCAGTGTGTGTCCCTCAAATCATTCCCCTGCGGGTGCCTCAGCCTGGAAAAGCCAACCATGAAATTGATAACAATACGCTTTTGGAAATGAAATCAGGTAAGAATCAAATATACTTGAAATCATTTAAAATAACACTGCCATATTCTTTATATTCATCTGGTTGTTGATTTATCTCTTTACATGTTTTCTATAATCAGGATCTTGGGAAGTTTGTAAAACTTCCAAAATTTGAAACAATGGTGGTTTATAGAGTGGTATTTATACAGATTAAAACTCTTGCCGACCTTCCATTTGTGTGGGTAATAGTTGTAGCAATGCCTTGACTCACCTTAGCCAAGGGAGGATTTCCTGATGCTTCCCCAGACTTTCCCAGGATTCTCATTATTTTTCTGGGATTTCAGTTTGACCTGCTAACACAGGCTTCCCAGTCAGACAGGTTGGAGAGTGAATCCTGGCTTTGAGAACTTCTGGTGACCTTCAATACATTGCTGTGCCTTTATAAGTCTCAGCTTCCTCACTGTAAGAGAGTGATAGTATTATCTACTGTTTACAGCCATTGTGAGGTTTAATGAATCGATATGTGATGTGAGGGGCACAGGGTCTGTCACACGGTAATGCCAAAAGAAATCTTAGCTATTTCTGCAGAAATAAAGCAGTGAATGCATTTCCTATTAATGCCAGGAATACACACACACACACACACACATACACATATACATATATAATTAACATAAGGAGAAGGAAAAGTTTTATAGGTAGAACATATGAACAAATACTTGTTTAAAACAAACTCTGACTTGCAGCCACATGGATGGACCTAGAGATTATCATATTACATGAAGTAAGTCAGACAGAGAAAGACAGATATCATATGATATCACTTATATGTGGAATCTAAAAAAAATGATATAGATGAACTTATTTACAAAACAGAAATAGGCACACAGACATAGAAAACAAACTTATGGTTACCAAAGGGGATAGCAGGAGGGGGGGAGATAAATTAGGAGTTTGGGATTAACGTATACATACTACTATATATAAAATACATAAACAAGATGGACCTTCTGTATAGCACAGGGAACTATACTCAGTATCTTGTAATAGTCTATAATGGAAATGAATCTGAAAAAGAAAAAAATAGTATACATATGTATAACTGAATCACTTTGCTGTATATGTGAAACTAATACAACATTGTAAATAAATTATACTTCGATTTAAAAAAACAGACTCTGAGACTTCAGTTATGTATTTTAATAACTAATGTGCATACAAACTATCTGTAATCGATGGCGTGACACCTGGGCTTCCTAGACTAAGAGTTCCAACTAAGAATATATTACGTTATACTGTATCTCCCTTTATTTTAAAAGCCAATATTATTTTCAAAAATTCTCAAACCAAAATACAAGTCTTAGTATATGTGCCCATAACCCTCAGGAGAAGTTGGGTGATTATTGACAAATGATGACAGGATATCCAAATTCTCTAATATTGAAAATGTCTAATAAATAAAAGATTCTACAATTCAATGACAAAAATAATAATAACCCAATAGTAAAATGGACAAAGGATGTGAAAGAACACTTTATAGGAAAGGAAATACAAATATCTTTTAAACATATGAGAATATGCTTCTACTCACCCCTTCACCAGCTTGCTGAGCAGACCTTTTCCCCTGCTTTTTTTTACTCCCTTACATTTAATCACCACTTAACAGATTATATGTAATTGTTTGTTTGTTTACTGCTTGTGTGTTTTTCCTAAAATGGAAGCTCTATGACAGCGGGGACTTTGGTCATTGGTGTATCCCCAGTGTCTGGCACGTAATAGGTACTTGGTAATTATTTGTTGAATGAATGAGTGAATCTTACTCAAAATGTAAGGAATGTGAGTTAAAAGTATGAGATACTTTTCTTTTAACCTAGGAAAATATAAAAGAAATATTGGCAAAACTAAAAGAAAAAATGGTCACACACAATATGGCTGAGATTGTGGGTAAACACGCACTTCCGTGCCTTGCTGATAGCAATGTGAATTGTTTCACTGTCCGTGGAGGGAAGTTTGGCACCGTTAACCAAAATTAAAAGTGCCCATAGCTTTTGACTCAACAGTACGAGTTCTACACATTTTACAGATGTACTTATAAAAAGAACTCTTTATAGGGTTATTCATTACAATGCTTGTAATAGCAAAAGAAAAAGAAAAAGAAAGAAGGAAAAGGAAAGAAGACAGTTTAGATGTTCATCTGTAGGGATTGGCTGTTTGCCAATGATTCATCCACAGAAAGACAATACTGTGCAGCCATAATGAAGAATGGGGATGCTTTTATGTACCAATATAGGGCAATATCCAAGACAGATTGTTAAATGAAAAGAGAAATGTGTAGAACAGGGTATGATAAGCCACCATTTGTATATAAAGAGAGTGGGGAGCGCTTCCTGGGTGGCGCAGTGGTTGAGAGTCTGCTTGCCAATGCAGGGCACACGGGTTCGTGCCCCAGTCTGGGAGGATCCCACATGCTGTGGAGC